ATTTGATACAACGAATCGTGTTCTTTGTGAGGAAACGTTTGCGCTGGTGAGTACTTTATTCATCATCCAGGTCTCCCTTTTTGTTTTGTGACAAGAACACGCGGGGAACAGAAAAAAAACACAGGGGGTGGCGGGGGAGGGGGTGGTCAGTCGGCCCTTCAGGGCTATACTTGGGGGCGGGGGGGTGGAGTGATGGGCCCGTTGCCCCAACCTCGTGGGGACCTTGTGTGTGGGGGGGGGAGAATCTAGGTCTGTCTGGAAAACAAGATGTGAAAAGTCAATGAGCCCTTATACCTCGTCGAAGTTAAGGATACTCACCTAACGGTATAGTTAAATACGTCTCAAATGGTCGGCGTTTATCCAAAAGCATTGCCTAGATGGTTGAATGGCTTCTTTGCTCAAATATTTAATACTTTATGGAATAAATAAATAGTCTCAAAAGCCATAAGTCAAATCTGGTATGATCCAAACAGTATGTGTGTGTGCATAAGCCACCTATTTGCACGGAAAAATGTATTAACACTTGTTTCTTTCCTCAGAGAGATCAGGTTGCAGGCACAAAGATCACGCACGAGATTGAGACATTGCAGAAGAAAATCAAGGATGAGAACCTGAGGCACCAGACGGAGAAGGAGTCTCTCCTCCTCAAGCAGACGATGATCGACGAAGAGAAGGCAAGGCTGGCCAAGATCTACGAGGAGGAAATCTCCCGGGTGAGGTCTATGGCGGAGAACGAAGCGCAGCAGAAAATGCATCAGCTGGAGAAGAACAAGCAACTGCAAAAGCAGGTGGAGGAGTCCTTCGGCGAGCAGTCGGGTGCGGCGCTGGAGAGGCTTTACGAGCCCAGGAGCATTTGTAAGAAAGAGACGAAAATCACGATCACGACCTCATCCCCGTGCGACAAGTCGCCCGACCTGTCCACCGAAGAAGGACTCAAACAGTCGCTCTTAAATTCGACCGCCAACATTCCCTCGGGCCCATTCGCGGGCAAGGACGTGACCGCCTGGGAGCTCGTGCAGTCCAATATTTTATCGGAGGAACAGCGGAGAAAGCTGCTGTCGGAGTACAGATCTGGCAAGATTATCATCGAAACGCTCGTCTTGGCGATCGCTCAGGCCATCCAGGATGGCGCGGACAGTCAGGAAGTCATGAAGACCGTCACCTTCAGGGGCCCCGTTGGTGACATTTCCCTGCAGGAGCTCGTAGACTCCAAGGTGTTGCATCCGAGCGTCGCGAAGGAGGTAGAAGAGGGAAAACGATCGGCTGATGAAGTGAGCAAAATGATTGAGAAATACAGCCTGACGAAGAACAGCATTGCTGGCATTTTTTTGGAAAACACCAAAGAGAAAGTGTGTTTCTATAACGCCATGAAAAGGGGACTTATTAGAGCTGACACTGCCTTCGAGCTTCTGGAGGCGCAGGTAGCCACTGGATACATTATTGACCCTGCCACGGCCTGCAAGCTGACCTTGGACGCTGCCATACAAAAGGGCCTCATTGGTGCCGAGTTCAGGGAAAAGCTTCTGTCGACCGAGAAGGCGGCATCTGGGAACCCAGTGCCCTTGTTTGCAGCGATACAGAGGGGGCTGGTGACGAAACACCAGGGACTACGTCTCCTGGAAGTGCAGGTGGCCACTGGTGGGATCGTAAACTCGCAACTCGGGTTGCGAATCCCTCTGGAGGATGCCGTTCCGCTGGGCCTCGTGGACGAGGAGACGAAGAGGGCTTTGTCAGAGAGCGGCCGCGTTGTCAAAGGATTTTTTGACCCAAACACGGAAGAGAGCGTCACGTACCAGGAGCTCATGCAGCGCTGCATGACTGAGCCTCACAGTGGCCTGCGCCTCCTGCCCATCAAGGCGAAAGTGCGCGACAGGAAGCTGTCGAGCACGTCCTCCATCCGGAAGCGGAGAATTGTCATCGTAGACCCTGACATCGGGACGGAAATGACCCTGTACGAGGCCTACTGCAAGGACCTTATCGACTTGAAGTCCTACATTGAGCTCTCGGAACAGGAGTGCGAATGGGAAGACGTCACGACGACGATGCCAGATGGAACGACCATCTCCGTTTTGCAGGACACCAAATCGGGGCTGAAGTACAACATCAACGAGGCTCTTGCCAGGGGCTTCATCGACAAAGCCAACTTTAATCTCTACCAGGCGGGTAAGATATCCATCGCCGATTTCGCCGACATGCTGACCGGAAGTGGATATCGTTCCCGTTGCTCGTCGACAAGTTCGGATTCGGCCCCGCTCAGCCCAAAGAGGAGCCCCGTGCCGTTGCTCCCGAACAGTCCCGTCAGTGACCCCACAGAGGAAAAATCTCTTATCGCTGGAATATTTGACCTCCACAGTTTGGAAAAGATCACCATCAGGGAAGCTATTGCCAGAAACCTGGTCGATGTCATCACGGCGCAAAGGCTGTACGAAGGCCAGGCGTGCACCGGCGGCATAATTAGCCCGTTCACTGGGCAGAAAATGCTCATTCAAGATGCGGCCAACCGCGGCATAATTGACAGGCAAATGTCAGAGAGGATCGCGCTGGCGCAGAAGGCTCACACCGGATTCGAAGACCCTAAAACGGGCAAGAGGATGTCGACAGCACAGGCCATGAGGAAGGGCTGGCTCTACTACGAGACGGGCCAGCGCTTCCTGGAGGCGCAGTACCTTACCGGCGGCCTCATCGAGCCCGACACCTCGGGGAGGGTGACGATGGAAGAGGCCCTGAAAAACGGCACTGTGGATGCGCGCACGGTGCAGAAGCTCCGTGACGTCAACAACTACTCCAAGTGCCTGACCTGCCCCAAGACCAAGCTGAGGATATCCTACAAGGAGGCGCTCGACTCCTCTGTCGTGGACCCCCTGACGGGGCTCAGGCTGCTCGAGGCCTCCACCTCTTCCACGAAAGGCTTCCCGAGCTCCTACAGCGTCGGAGACGTGAGCCCCACCTCGGGCTCGAGGGCCAGCTCGCGCAGGGGGAGCTTCGACGCGTCCGGCACGAGTCACTCCTCCTCGGGCTACGGCACGGCCAGCGTCAACGGCGGACGGTGGTCGCTGTCCACCCCGCACCCGTTCTGAAGCGGGCACGGCACGCGCATGCACGGCCGGACGTTGACCCGGTTACGTGCGTGCGCACGTTGAGTGTGTGCGCGTGTGCATCCAAAAACGCGTAAGCACTACGAAAGTGTACATAGGAGAAAACGCTGATGTCTGAAGATTGCACTCTAGAATGTCGGATGTCTCACCCGTCTCTCATAATTCATGCCAGCCGCCTGGATTGTTAGATATAGTTGACGACGTCAGTTACAGAGGAGCTTTGCTTTGCTTTTTTTACTTTAATTCAATGTGGTGGAAATATACACTCGGGCATACCATTATTTTTGTAGATATTGTTAGCGCGATTCAAGTTCTGTAAACGATAGATGCATCTTTAGATGTCGCAAGTTAAGATTAAATCATCAATCCTTAACTTATAAGAAGTTGTAATGATGGTATGATTATGGGTTATTACTGTGTAACGGTTATATACAACTGAAACTGGAGGAGAATGTGATTCAGATTTACCTCAAATGCCACGAACCAATCTCCATGGCATGAATTTTCAATTTCAAAGAAAACCCCAGAAAAAACTATGCAGCCCCCTCCCACGTGGTGTCAATGCACAGATTAAATAGCCAGTGGTGACAACTTCAAGACCCAGAATCGTCCAAGCCGATGATGCCGTTCAGGCAAGGGCGAGAGACAATGAAACGCCACGAGGTTTCACGGCCGCTGAAACACAAATGCAACGTTCAAGTTCGTGGAATCCTTCGGCAGTTCGGCTCCTGGGCCACTCTGCATTTTGACGAAGCCACGCAAGCCCAAGACGAGAGAAATCGCGACAGGTCTCCCCATGTTGTTGTTGGTGGTGGTGGGTCATCGTGCTTTAGGTGACGGGACTTCCGCTCGTGTCAAACGGACAAGTGTTCGTGGAAATGTGCAGAAGGGCTGACTTTGAGACAACTAAGCTCTGTTTGCTTCGTTGCCTGCGTAAAAATAAAAAGTAATATACGACATAAAGCCGACTGCAAATCGGTGCAACATTTATTTGAATTCGAATCAGATAATGAGCATCTCATTATATCAATGCAATAAGTCTGATATTTGGCAAATTTTAGTTATAAGGTTAATGTTTTTTACGGCAGTTCGGTGTATCCCTTAAAACCAAAGTGCTTCAGAAAGCAGTTACTATCTGCACATATCTTGTTTTGACACCCATGGTAAATGGGTGATGGAAATGCGGTTGGCTGCTCAATAAACACTTCTCAAACGCACGGAATCCTTGGTCTCCTTCGAGGTTCTATGGGCTTTTATCTTCCTCTGGTGGCGGTACACTTTACTTCATTTCGGTGTCGGGATCTGCAACTGTTGATGAGATAATTCCTCGGTGTGCTTGTCTCGTGAAGGACTCCTCTGTGGCATTGACCGTTTTCACGATTTGTGCTCATGTACTAGGAACATTGTTGTGGACGGTAAGATGAAATGTTTCATACGCTATGGGTGAACTTACCTGCTGCCACTGCTGCTCTGATTGTTTTAACTGCCGGTGTTAAGGTGCCGGGACTTTTGTTGTGTGCGGTGCTTCTGTGGCCTAAAGGTCGTCTGGGTGAAACACTGTTCTGTTTACACGTTTTTGGAATATTATGGGGCTCTTAAAATCAGCGGATGTTTACTCCGTGCAGAGAAACCTGCGTGAACTTGTGAGCAGCAACAACGAATGTCTGTTTAACCAAATGGTCTTCACGTTTACGTGTTCTGTAAATACACGTAGGTGTTCATTTAACTGGCAAGCATTCGGTGAGAAATTGTCACTCATTTTAATACCAACTGGAGATTGCTGTATCATCGAGCATGGTGACGCAGGTTTCACGGCAATGGGGTTAAAATCCAACTGCTGACATTCTTTTGCTCGTCGCCCATTGAGTTCCGACGGTGAATTGACCGAATCCGGCGTGCTTGCAGGAGACGACGGGAAAGTGCACCGGGATTGGAGGGGAGTTCGTGTCCAGCGACCGCGGCGAGGATTGGGGTGGAGAGGAAACGGCGGACACCTGCGCAGGGAGCCCGGCTCCGCAGGTGAGAGGGAGCCATCGCTAAAAAGCGTGTGTTCATTTACGGAAGCGTTTTAAAAAATATATTTTCGTCATAGTCTTCGTCTAGTTGGTGAGATTTTAGTCAAGTCTCAGTGGATTTCATTCCGTCAGCCTCTTAATCTTGTCGACGAAAGTGATGAAAAATGTAGTCCGCTTTCACTTGGGATATGTTGGTGTGAGGGGTGTGCATTTAGCACTCTCCCACCTCCCATATCAAGTCGGCCCAGAAGCGAACTCGGTAAATCCTTTCACACAAGCATGGCGCACTGCGGTCTCTGATAGCGTTTACTAAATTATCTCAAGTCTGCATCGTCATTCAGGCACTCGTTAATTTGGTTGCGTCATAGTCATGTCATGCTTTGGTCTTTGGTAAGTGGTCGTAGTCACGTACAGTATCTATGTTGAACTTCTTTTGCACCATACGTAGCCAACCTTGCGAATGATTGCAACTTTTTTTGTGCACAGTCAACGTTCACCGATATAAAAAAAAAAACCCACAATATTTACAACACCGATTTCGTTAACAAAATTAACGCCGGCCAAAATCCACTGCTGCATGCCACACTGCTTGCATTTACCGTTCTGAAAATGCCTTCCACTGGTTAGCCACTCATCCTCTCTAAGTGCAAGAATCTCCTCTTCTTTTCTCCTCCTCCACCTTCGAATACTTCTTCCATAACTCCTCTCCCACTCCCAATGATGACACCTCCCCCCCTACCGTGAGTTACCCACTCGATAAAAGCATCTCGCAACGTACATTCATGTTGGTTTTATTCAGCGACACCTCAATGTTGTGTACTGTACTTTACGGGCAATCGGCCAAATGAAATGTTTACATGTGGGAAAATGTAAAATCAGGGAAGAATGTGAATGTTATCGATTGGAACGCTTTAGTGAATCTTGAAACGATATGTCAGAAACGGGAAATCGCAGAAAGCGTGAATATTACAGCGAGGATTCGCTTACATGGTAATATTTTATATTTACAGCCGTCTATCGGTCCGCTGCTGGATGAAGGCCTCCCCATATACCTGTGGTGGCCATACAGATCAGTTGACTGTACTTCACCGCGTTGGTCAGTGCAGATTGGCGAGAGGGGGGCCCATCATAGTCAAGTTCAGATATTGCTTGCCACCGGCGTTCGCTGTGTCCTGGAGCAAAACTGGGGTCGCTGGTTCGGAGTGCGGAGCACTATCCACTGTGCCGCCATTGCACCCTGTGTTGTAATAGGGTAGCATACGACACGGACGTGTTTAAGAGAAGCATTGAAAGGCTTTGTTGTTCTGTATTCTAAAGAAGAATTGACGTCGGGTGCTTTTTCATTGTATTGTCTGCAGGTCTTCAGTGATGAGAGTCCATCATCAACGCAGAATGCTCTGCCTGAGCAAGATGCAACCGGTATGGTTTTCACTTGGCTACATGCGTTTGATTAACCTTTCATTTGTGATATTTCACGAAGGATCTGCTGACTAGCTAACATCTTTGTCGTGCCAACTGTGACCCTGTCGACATTTGTGGTTGTTACTTTCAAATATGATGATGGTGATACAAGGTGTAAGCGTTAATGATAAAAAAACTTTATTTTTAATTAACTTACTTTTCAACAGCAAACAATTCATTGAGGCTTACTTGCGTAAAATACAGTAGCTAATCTTTATTACCAGAAAATGTAACTGATTACTGAATTAATACAATTCTAACAAATACATTATTTTACCATTCCATATTTATTAAGCAATTGATTAGGACAACTTGTATTGAAGCCATTTATCGTAACATGTGACAGGACGTAGCATTTCACAGGCTGATGGTGCCTCGCAATCTTGCCATTGACACACACTGCCTTGTCATACACAAACATCTAAACTACTATTAGTACCGGGTGCCCGTAATGGAATCACAAGAATTATAATTAGTACATTATTATATAGGTCGATAAAACTGTGCACACACTTGGCGGTGTAACAAAAATGATCGTGTGAATTTCATGCCTCTTGACATCCACATATTCACCGTGGCATTTTGGTCAAAGGTATCATAGAGCGAGTCTTGGATATCCCCCAACATCTCGGGCGTGATGCCATCTCTTAAGCTGTTAGTTTTTGTTGGTGTACACTTTGTGAAAAAACACCATCTACACATTCATCAATAACACTGCCTTGAAAAGTATACATGAAGCAACGTTTCGGGCAATGGCCCTTCATAGCACATGAGCATTGCTTCCCGCATTGTAGCATGCATTGGTATTAACGAATGTATCGTTTTAGGTTGTTATTTGTGTTTGTGCACCGCTGCCAACTCAGTATCACCAAAGAATACACTGTATAGGTCAGATTAGATCAACATTCAACTGTGCTGTTCAAACTCCGTCGAATTATTATGCTCTAAATATGGCTGATATCTTCATGGACACCTTATATTTCAGTCAGACCTCTGCAGAGCAGGGTATGACATAACCAGGTAATAGAAATTGCTCGGTGAAACATGTTCTTCGTACACCTTCAGCACCATCTCGAACACAGCCCCCTGGTGACTTTCTTGACGATTGCGTTGAACAAAAAAATTCCCATCTCCCCTGCCGTAGATTCAGCTATTTGCCTGAACGAAGACTCGGACGACGCGCAGATAGCCCGTGAGGCCGAAGAGGATCCGGCACGGGACGCGACCTTCTCGCTGGGGTCGCTGGACGGCTCGGAAGCGCTTCACGCGGAGTGCGACAGCCACCGCAGCGCGTCGGAGATGTGCGCAGACGGAGACGACGATAAAGACGATGAAGACGAGACGCAAGGCTGCGAACTCGAATCTCCTTCGGTTTTCAGCCGCGAGCACGTGGACCTTGCCACGATGTTAGACCAACGGCTTGAAGACGATGAGCCTGAAGACGCAAGCAAAGCCAGGGAGGGTGACCCGAACTCTCAGGAGCAGCAGGTATCCGTGACATTTGTTTAGGTTATGGGTTGTATTGCTCCTACTGTCTGCGTTTATAAGTGCATATGTTTTGCGTGGTTTGTGAGATGCCTGTGCGATGTCTGCGTGTTTTCACCTTCGTAGGCTTCTCAGGCACTGTCTCCACCAGGATGCAATAGTACTAAAAACAGAATTGGTCAAATATCTCTAACATTATCCTCCTGAAAATTTGCCTTGAGACTCAACGAGGCTTTTCTAAATGAATAGCACCGTCATTATCATCATTATCAGCCATTGGCTAACCGATGCTGAAAGAAGGCTTCTCCGCAATTCCACATCACCATCAGAATCAGAATATTTATACTGGAGGAATCCAATAAGCTATTAAACTAATTTTGTAGAGATGTCCAGGAGGGGCAGGTCAGAACGTTACAACAACAAACAATACAAATTCACGATAGGAGTGCAAAGTATAGGAAAAGTAAGCAAATCACAAAAAAGCAATTACAAATTAAACTACACTTTTTATTTTACCAGGTGAAGTCCACTGAGCTATCGGCTTCTTTTTCAGAAGCAACCTGGCCACAAATGATAGCTGAACGAAGTCGCTTACCATGAAGGCTGCCGAGTGTAGCTCCTGCACATGAACCGATCTCATCGTTCCACCTCCACAGTGAACGTCCTCTCGGCTTCGTCCATTCAATCACCAGCGTCATCCGTCGGTCATCATCCCTTCCAGCCATGTGTCCAGGCCAAGCCCACTTACTTCCTCCCATAGTCAATACGATGTCTCTCATTGGCATTTATTCTCTAATCCACGTTTTGCCTCTGCTATTTCCTCAGTGTAATTCGTAACTTATATTCGTTTAAGCTCTTTAAACACTTTATAGCTTTTGTTCGCTTTCTTTGTTCAGTTCATTGTACGTTATTGACGACACGCATGACTCTTGAGATCGTTATGCCCTCTGCTTTTGTCACGACCTCGTGGGCAGTTTCTGGACAGCTGGAAAGCCATGCACACGTGGTTGCTGGAGATCTCAGACGCCCTGAGCCAAGAGCCGGGCTGTGATGATGGCATCGATACACTTACGGAACGGCTCCTCAAGCTCAAGGTAACAAGGCCATCTCGGTCCAGCGCTCGTATCACTTGAGCATAGGGAGCCGGTATAGAGAGCGGGTAGCCTTGTAGTGCGGCCAGAGCTTCTCTTATCCGGGAACTCCGTTGCTTTGAAAATATGGGACCTTTCTTGCCAGTATCAAAATATAAGAATATTGGTTAATGCTCGCAGAATTCCTTGTGCAAGGTTTCTGTTTGGTGTTTTAGCATCTTCACACCTATATTCTTGGTTCTTTCGGTAAAGTCACGTAGAAGGGAAACAATAAAATAAAAAGAATATAAAAAAATATATATTTTTGTAATATATATTTCTTATTTTATTATTTCCCTTCTACGTGACTTTACCGAAAGAACCAAGAATATGAATCCCTGCAGTCACGAAAGCTTTAAATAAACATCTTAACACCTGTTGTTTTATTGCCAGATAGGGTAAAACCTCTTCTTATATCCGTTGCTCTTATCTGCAATGTCGTCAATAACCCCCCAGGGAGGCATTCACGAGGAGGACACTCCGCTTGTGGCTGCTCCGCCGCCGAACACTTGCGTGAAAGGCGGTGTCGCAGGCCGCATCTATCCAATGATGCTTGCGCAATAGCCCTCCGCGGGTCTTGCTCACCCACATGTCACGTTTGAGCCGCATGGCATGATTGGGAACGTGAACAAGAGATGGATTTGGCGGAGCGTGCTGGGTTTTCAAGAGTGTGTGGAAGTCCGTGGTGGTGATCTTTGCTGCACTGTTTATGGACCCCCCAGGAGCTTCAGGGAGGCCTGCGCGCTCACGAAGAGGCCTACGAGGAGTGCGTGGATCTCGGAGAGTTGGCGGTCGAGGCCGCGGCCCTGACTTCAAACCACGGCCAACTTCAGAGCATGCTGGGAGAGATGCGGGGCACGTGGGAGAAGGTGCAGGCCCTGTCTGCCGAGCGGTGGGTATGATTGCACACGCACGCCTACGCCCAACTTTGTTAAATCCACTGCTGGATGAGGAAATCCTCATGCCGAACTGAAACGGGCTGGTAGTTAACCCACCAACGTCCCCTTCTGCGCCCCGAACCTGCCGACCACGGCATCCGCACCTCCCAATAGCACTGGTTGGCGACGTGAGGTGCGAAAATCGTTCAACATACATGCGTACATCCTGATCCCACTCCTCGCTGCCCAGCCCTGCCGGGAGCCGACCCGGTGGCACCAGTAACGAGCTAAGCATCGACTCGCCCATTACATTTCAAGTGTATCGCTCACGATGTACGTGCCCAGTCCTTTTGTCGATCAACTGCTGGACGAAGGCCTCCTCATGCCATTCTGGTCGCGGCGGTTATTGGACCATACTTCGCCGTGCTGGTCGGAGCGGATTGGTGAAGTCTTTAGGCATCGATGTGGGAACATACAACTGCAAAGTACCGTCCAACAATAGGTTTTACTGTACTGCCCTCTGCTGCCCACAACGTAGCCCTGCAGAAACCTGTAACACCTGGTATGCATGGTGGTCACCCATCCAATCACTCTCCAGGCTCAGACCTGCTTAGCTTGTAAGGTCTGATAATCGTGGAATTTGGTCCATAGGGCTTTTGTATCCCCCTAAAGTATACCTTTCATGAATTATTTTCTTCCTGTATTTTCAGCATCATATCATAATAACGGCAATGTTTCATATCAGAGCTGGAATAATACACGTTACGTGATAAACCCAGTTGCAGGTAACTGAAATTTGCTGCACTTGAGAAGCAGATTTAATCGCGGGTGGCAGTATCGCTTCTAACCAAGGTTCTTCAGCGATACCAACTCAGTGGCCTGACCCCCACATTCATCCACAGATTTATATTTCCAAACGTTCACAAATGAGAGGTATGCTCATTACACACCACACGCATATGCAGTGGAAACCTTAATTGAGATAGCATATGCTTTCAATAACTTGTTTTAGTGGGTGGAAGTGTCTTGTTGTGTAGGAGGAATGTCACTAATAGTGAAACAGAGGATTACGGAGCTGGCTTCAGTCGGGTGCAGAGGCATCATTGTATGATAGTAAGTGCTGGGTGTTCACTAAAGTGCTAATTTTATGATGTCTGTCTGTTTAGGGTTCATAGTATGTATTTTTATTGTTCATTGCTTTATTTTCATGGACATGGTTCATGTGCATAATCCACAACCTGTCATTTACATTTTCCACGGATGAAAGAAATAATGAATCTATAAATGATCACTCTGTAAATGTGTGATTCATAATGTATTTTTGGGTAGGCCCACGTAAGTAAAATGTCGTGTCGTAAACCTTCCTCTAGCCGACACAGACAATTCATAAAATTGTCACGTGATCAACCGGGACAGTGAATTATTGCTTCAGAACATCGGTGTGTCGGAGAGCGATCCACACACATTTAACAAAAGCCTTTGTGTTAAATGTATGTGTGCGTAATGTTTCTGCTGGTACAAGTGTATAAATCAAGTTCAATGGAACGCAACTCATTTATATTCCAATAACATTTTATGAGCATGCCGCATACATTTGATGCACATCAACATGCAGTGAAAGTCACGCATGGTGCTCCGTTCTCCTAATAATTCACTCAAGGAGACGTTCGCAAAATGCGGACAAAAAAAAATGCGAATAAAAGATAGCTTGATCAAACTTAAATCAAAACGACTGTCATCTGTACAGTTTTACTGCGATGACATCGCCTATATATGACGCAAAGAGCAGTAAGCTTTTTTTTTATTTCAAACCGGGGTTGCTTGTCATTGGATGCCTTGTACCGACCACCGATGTGCGCTGAGGGCTCCCTTGGCACGTGGCCACCTTCGCCTAGCTGGCACGGAGCCGCGTGTTGCAGCAGCGTCTGTGCGGCAGTGCGACCCGGTGAGCGTTGTGCCGCATCGGTGACAGCGCCAGCGCGTTTGGTGCCGCTCGGATGAAGCTGCGGCAATGACCGCGTCGTGGACTCAGAAGTAACCGGTCCCTCATTTCGCCGATTTTTGTTTGTTGTTGTTGTGAGGAATGCATGTCTGCGTTGGCTAAATGTGCTGCTGTACGGTGCATTCTGTTTGGTTCAATGTCGTATATCTGTGTGCTCGTGTGTTGGTGTGTATATTATGTTACACGTGATTGCATTTTGATAGCGAGGCCTCATGTAGGGTATTGTATCATCTGCTATCGTGTATCGGTTCTTTACTAATCTACCCGGTTGTGTGGTGACAAGCAGTGTGAGTGTGTGCGCACGTACGTGAGTGTGTATTTTGAGAACATTTCGATAACATGGCATGTCCAATGTGTTTTGTCATAACTCGTATTATATCTTTGTTCATACTAAACTAGGTGGCTGTGTAAGTCACCCATGAGCCCATCAGATTATTATAATTATTAAAAGTATGAATGCAAAGAGACTGGTGGTGTCAAGCTTGATACAATGAAACACTGCGGTTTAAACAATCTGCACTGTTTGAATAACCAGTACAAAGTTGGAGTTAAACATTATTTGATTGAAATAAACTAAAGTAATATGCTTCATAATTGTACTTTTCACATTTCATGATAAAAAATTGCAATTGGCACATTATTTTAGAAAGTACTATGTGCTTACGTGTTTCTTTAATAAAAGTTCTGTATCTCTTAACTCTGTAAATGCCAATGCATAGCTTGATAACTCTGTCATTCTATGAGCCCGAATGTTATCCTGATGAGCGTTAATTTGCCTCCATTAGTTTTACGACAACGCACTGATGTCTTCATGACTGGCTCCGCACCAAATCGTGAAGGCGACGATGTCTTCTGGCACGTTTACTAAAATGGGAAACTAGCCCTCATTCTTCAAGTAAATTACCTACGGTAGTTCATTGTTTATTCCGTACCATTCATATTCATGAACTATCTTGGACCCAGTAGATTGCCAACATTTGATAGAAAAAAAATATTTTAGACTTGATTATCAACAGTTTCGAATTGCTATGAATGTAAATACTTTTCAACATTTTACGTCTTACATAAATCTGTTATTCCTGTTTTATATGGTGTTAAAGTTTTCCATTAAATGTTTTGTTTATTTATTGGTGAACTTGTTTTGCTGTTCGATTGATCTCTAAAGTGTAACTGTCTTGCTCCTTGATGTATTTATTTTTACCCAGGTGAACCTTGAAGAAGAGAGGCTTATGGTTTAATTTGTCTCTCGGTCAATCAATACGCCAGCTGGGCGTTTTTGCGCCGGTGTATTGACAGCGTCGCTGCTGACCGTAGCAAAGTGACTTGCATGCGTGGTATGTGTCGGATCGCCTCGGATGCAGGGAGCAAAGCTTGGAGGCATCGTTGATGCTCTCAGGGCAGCTGGTTGACGCCCTGCAGGCCCTGTCCGCGTGGCTCGACGGCGTCGAACCGCTCCTGTCACCTGACTTTCCCGTCCTGGGCGACATGGACACGGTCGCCAGGCTCCTGCGCGAGCACCAGGTACGGCACAACGTGTTCACCCGGTACAGCACAACACGTTGACTAGGTACAACACAACATGTTCACCCGGTACATCACAACACGTTCACCTGGTGCAGCACGACACGTTCACCTGGTTCAGCAGAACGTGTTCACCCGGTACAGCACAACACGTTCACATAGTGCAGCACGACACCTTCACCTGGTTCAGCAGAACGTGTTCACCGGGTACACCACAACACGTTCACTGGGTGCAGCACAACACGTTGACTAGGTACAACACAACATTTTCACCGGGTACAGAACAATATTATCACCAGTCACCACACAATACGCCCAGGATATGACGGCTGGGGATAAAATCGCGCCCAAAATGCAATCTCTTTAAACGTTGCAAAGTTCTGTGGTTTTTAGCGCTGGGGGTGGTCCCTGCTGTTGTCCCGCCATTGCGCCCCCCGTCGGCAGGCCCTCCGCGAGGAGCTGTCGGAGCATGGGCAGAGCGCGGAGTTTGTGCGCCGCGCCTCGCGGGAGTGCGCCGTGCTGGGCGGCGGGAACTCGTGCGGCATGGTGGAGCGCTCCGAGGCGCTGCTCGCCCGCTGGGAGGCCGTGTGCTGGCTCGCCACCGCCAAGGAGACGCGCCTCCACGCGGCGCTCCAGCAGGTGCCGTGGTAGCGAGGGGATGTTAACTACCTCGCCTGGTATGCAGGAGGTCGTGGGTTCGGTCCCAACCCTTGACCGCCTGCTGTTTATTTGTAGCTTGCGTGTTATTCTCTCTCCATGGTTGCGTGGATTTGTCTCCAGGTCCTCCTATTTTCCCCTCCACATTTAGAATTAACATCACGCGTTCAGAGTATTTGGCTGCTCTAGATTTCCGCGTGATAAGCCACTTCGTTGGGCTATCATTTGTGGCCAGGTTGCTTCTGAAAAAGAGATATATAGTTCAGTGGGCCTTACCTGCTAATATAAAAAGTTTAGTTTTGTAGAGGTGCGCCTGGCGCGATTCAGTTCACACGGATCAATTCAAACTTCTGTTCAGGGAATTATTTTGCCCCGCTACATCCATCTCAAATTCTTCTTCTCCCTTTATTTATTCACAATTCTGCAGTGGTGTCCGGCAAGATAAGCAGTGTTCTCGACAAATATCGGGTGAGAAAGTCAGCCCAAATAATTCCTTGTAGCTTATGAAGCCAGCCACGCATGTATTGCGCTCTTCAACGAGGGTGAACAGCATCATGTCTGTTCGTAGTAGTGACTTTACTTTTTGAAAACTGGACAAATTAGTCAAAAGGTCACCGAAAACGTGGAGACACAAACCAAAGCAAAAATAACGATTTGCTATAATGAAAACACATTTGCCCCGACAGCTTCCACACTACAAATTAAATCCTTCGGAAGGACGTTTGTACCACAGTGAGCTTGCTCTCGTGATGGGCGTGATTATCTGCTTCGTACCATCGCTTTTGCAACCGTAGCAACGTCATCAACAGCATCCTTTGAATTCAAGTGGAATGTGCGCAGACCTCTCAGGCGTGGAGAGGTGCGGTAGTAATCAGCGGGTGGCCTTAAGATTGGCCCTGCGTGAGAGGCAGCTGAACATATGAAAGGGGTCCGGTGTGAACGAGTGATGCATGAATCTCAGACCTAACTGATCAGTTGCCTGCGTAGTTTGGTGGGGGGTGGGTGGGGTGTGGAGGATGGGGGAGGGGTGGCGGCGGCAACGGGGCTGTTGCTGTGTTGGTAAGAGACCGCAAGGGCCCAAGCACCTGGGTTCAAAGACGGGGGGATTTGGAGAGGGCATCCTATTGGATTCCTTACACCAGGACTCATTCCAACCACGCTCTTCCACTGTTTCGGAGGTTGTACTTTCAGGCATTTTATACCCGGGCAGATGCAAATCAGTACCTTTCGTATGACTTCAATACATATTCTCACGTTCCCGCGCCTGGAAACGTGTGAGATAATCGGTATCACCCTGAGAGCGTGAGAAAAATCCTGACTACTTGAGTCTCGGCGCTAATGCGCGAGATGTGAGAGCACTTGCGAGCTGAGACGCAGCGCTCCGTTTTTTGCAACGCCGTCGCTTAATCCACGACACACGTGAGAGCTTTTGTGGCTGCTTTTCTCTCTCTCGTCCGGTCATCTCGCTGCGGAGCAGGCGGAGGAGCTGGCGAGAGCGATGACGCGGCAGCTGGAGTGGTGCACCTTGGCCGATCGGATGCTCTACCCGCACGACGCCCTGCCCGAGGAGGAGGAAGCCTTGCAGGAGCTGGCCAAGCAGCACGCGGTCAGATGCGAACGCTGCGCGCAATCTGACCGTTGCCCCCCCTCCACCCCCATGTCGCAAACCCGACCACCATTTACCGGAGGTTACTGGATGCCTGTGAAAAAGCTTTGTAGCTCATCGGATTCATCCAGTCTCAATAAAGATTCTGAGAAAGATTCTGAGGTTTGCTACCTCGATCCTGGTTTTCCCAGGATAGTTTTTGGTTCCTGTAGCTGTCTTGGAATATCTGCAAGTCTTCCCAGTACAACAAATGTCCCGGTTTATGTCATTTGATTAATTATACACCACGCAAGATAATCCATTTACATGTAGATCCCCTCCTTATGCTGTATTATGAGATTCGTTTTTCCCATGACAAGTCCAGTTTTTTCGTACGTCAGAGGTGGCACCCCTAAACAGACCCCCCTCCTCCTCCCTCCCCCCCCTCGCCATCCCATCGACATACATCAGTGTTCTTCACTCATTTTCAGAGGGGGGCCAATAAGACATCAGTGTGAGGGCCGTCACACATTTTAAACCATTGGGGGTTTGACAGCACAATGTTTATTCACATTTTCTATTGTCGGGGGCCGCACGTCAAAGGCCACACTGAAGGCCGCCAGTGGCCCGCGGGCTTTGCAATGAAGAACGCTGGCATACAGCGTGAGCGAGTGCTTACGCGGCATTTTATTATCACCGCAGGAGTGGATGCTGGAGCTGGAGAGCAGGGAGGAGGAGATGGCAAGGATCTCTGGCCTGGCTGATGCCATCTTGTCTACCTGTCACCCCGACGGCACAATCAGCCTCAAGCAGTGCCTGGCCTCGGTGCACAACAACTTCCAAGAGGTGAACACGTGGCCCCGGCAGACAGGACATTCTCTATTACTGGCACATGTTTAAGGAAGCAGATAGTAATGTACGTGTGTATGTTGAACTTCTTTCGCCGACCTTCTGACTTCATAGGCCACCACGATTGGTGGCCACTGTTTACGATTATCCAGGAGAGCCTAGTTGAGTCTCGAGACTCTTCCTAGGGAGGATCGTGCCACATTTGGATGTTTGGCCAGTTCAATCAATAAAGATTTGGCATCTGGGAGGACGGGCCTACGTGTGCACACTATAACCTAATGTGGCTTATTCACTTACAAATCCGGAGCCACATTGAATTGTGGATTGTTTCTTAGCGACCCTGGCCGCCAGGCTAGAGTTGTTCATAACACTTATATTTTTGCTATTGTCTGCACGTGCAGGTGAGTGGCCGGGCCTGGCGGCTCCAGGCCTGGCTGGACACGTCGCTGCGGGAGCTTGAGGAGCAGGCACACCTGGCGGAGGAGATGTTCCTGTGGCTGCAAGAGGCGCAGGACTCGCTGGCCGAGAAGGAGACGGAGCTCCTGCCCCAGGATGAGGAGTCCATACAGGGCCTCATCGACGAGCACCAGGTGACGAGCCCAGCTCGCTGAACCGGCGCACTTTTGCCGTACGTTGCCATTGACTTGCTAGCTCAGCCATTGGTTGGTTGCACTTTGAACTCAGCCCTTTCCCGTTCCGAGACGTCTGCACGTTGCGGGGTCGGTCCCGTTCACCGCTCAATCTCGAAACGCGCAAGCGGTTAGCGTTAATTTTATTTCGAGAGGTGTAGCGGCGCTGTTTTAAAGATATTGTACTCACTGCAGAGAACTGTACCGACACGACCGCACTCTAGGATAGCTGGCGCCAACCTGTGCCACACGCCTTCCCGCATGGGAGGGCGATGATGTACACGTATGTCGAATCATGCAAACGAATTGGAGGAAAAACTGTTAACGTCCATGTACGTCATCAAAATGGGTTAACAAATGATAGACATAGATCACGCACCCATGTGTTGCGCTTCAACGTCACGTACCCTGGCAAATAGGTATTTTTTGGGACAATTGTGTCGAATCATGAAAACCATTAATAAAGGAAGAGTCAACACAGTGATGAGGAGACTCATCTGAAATGTGTGATGTCTCAGTGGTGCATCCAAGGGGTGCGCAGTGGAGGGTGACTGCTACCTCCCTTGGGTATTTTGTTGATAATTACCAGAGAAAATGTGTTGATTGTTTATCGTTAATGTAGGACCCCATTCCTAGAGAATTAAATACTGGGGCCATTCCCCCCGCCCATCCTCCCATGGGAAGAGGTCCGCCTCTGTGATGTCAGTACTAATTATGAACGGGTGACGACCATACTTAGTCACTCACTTGCTCATTCACTCTATCATGCACCGACTATCTGATTCCTGTACTTACTCAGGCAATTCTTGAACGAGCCACAAACTCTTTTTCAGGAGATTAATCCTTGCGGTGTCTGGCCAATTCCTCTTCAAGCATTCTTAACTGTGGGGAAAACGAAAGTGCCTGGATAAAGTACAAACATACGAGTCATAACTCCTCGGAGATACGGTCAGAAACTTGCTTCCTTTCGTGCTGCCATCAGCGAGATGATGACGAATTCACCTGCAATTCAGAACGATGCGTTTTGCACTCACTACATTTCACCTGCTTGCTTTTTTTGCTTATCACGGTTGTTGAGGGCAAGCCCAAAGGTCCCCCAAAACGCCGACGCTGCCTTCAACCAACCACATCTTCTCGTCGTCTCCAATTGCCCGATGTTGCGTCTAGACCCCCCCCACCCCGCCCCGCCCGTAGCGAAGCGGCGTTTCTCACTCGGCCACGCGCTGTTCGCTCACACGAGGCCGCTGTCCGCAGAGCCTGATGGAGAGGATGATGCTGAAGCAGCCGGAGATGGACCGCCTGGGTAGGTGCAACAGGCGCAAGCTCTCCAGCGAGTCGCAGCTGAGTGGGACCCTCTCCCCCTTTCTGGACAAGACGAGGACGCGTGAGTTTGGCCGTCGTTTTTCACTTCACGCTTTTACAGGGGAACATATTGAGTCCACCGATGATCTGTGGAGAACGAGTGACTGAATCGGAGTTAACATGTTTACTGTGCTGACTTTGTATTCCTCGATCATTGCATGAGAGCTCATTGCTTTGGCTGCATGATCGTGTGAATTATATGTGTTGTGTGTGCAGCATTGTTTGTGTAAGCTGTAGGTAGTCAGCACACTACGCGCTACGAACCCGGCGACCCGAGTTTAATTCCTGCTATATTTTAACTGGTCTAGGGCCTCCTCTAGGTCGACTCTGCCTTAGACGAGTACCTGGGGCAGTGTGTAAACATCAGCACTGGGGAGACAAAAGTGGTGGGGTGTGGTGTTGGTCCATCCCGGCCTTCATAGGTCCTCACTAAGAGCACTTGCACCATAGTTAAAGGCTATATTGGGGATCTTTGTCTTTGTGCTGTGGCACGTGTGTCTTGTGGTCATGTGCACGCTGTGGTGTCCATGCCCTTGCCACATCCGCCTTGTGGCATTATTGTTCTGTGGCACGCATGCGGGGTACGGTGTGTGCGTGCATGCGGGGTATGGTGTGTGTGCGTGCGTGCGGGGTACGGTGTGTGTGCGTGCGTGCGGGGTATGGTGTGTGCGTGCATGCGGGGTATGGTGTGTGTGCGTGCGTGCGGGGTACGGTGTGTGTGCGTGCATGCGGGGTATGGTGTGTGCGTGCATGCGGGGTACGGTGTGTGTGCGTGCATGCGGGGTACGGTGTGTGCGTGCATGCGGGGTATGGTGTGTGCGTGCATGCGGGGTATGGTGTGTGCGTGCATGCGGGGTATGGTGTGTGCGTGCATGCGGGGTACGGTGTGTGTGCGTGCGTGCGGGTGCGTGCTCGGTACATGACGTGAGCAGCATGACCCGCATACGTGTGCGTTGTGTGACATGCGTGCTGTCGCACGTGTGCTTTTGCGCGCGTGCATTGACTTGCGTTCAAGTGCGGCACGGTGCGGGCCGCCGCGTGCGCCAGCGGCGGCAGGGCCCAGGCTCGTGCCGTCTTACCCTGGCACGAGCGCCGTGGCGACGTCGCCCTCTCTGAAGCGGCGTGCGGGGGCGTGTGCGTGTCTGGGCACAGGCAAGCTCTCGGGCTCGCAGCCCGACAGCCCCGTGTCGTCGCCGCTGTCCCCCGGGCCGCTGTCTGAGCCGCGAGACCCCCACGTGACGGCGCTCGTGGCCTGCTGGCACCAGGTGTGGCTCGCGGCGCTGGAGCGGCAGGGCCGGCTACGCGACGCCCTCCAGCAGAGCCAGACGGTGAGCGAGCAAGTCGACCTCTGGCGGTCAGTAATTAAGGCTGTGCGAATTGTTAATTCATCCCAGAGTGCCATTATTATTATCATCACTGTAGTGGCATTATCATTATTATCATCATTAGTTGCTCAATGACATCATATCTATCCGTGATTGTCATCCTGTTCTGATCGTCATCATCATTATCATCAGCCTTGATCTATTCACTGCTGGATGAAAGCCGCAAGCTGTCACCATCTCTCACGGTCTCCGTCTAGCTCCTACATACAAGCTGACTTCATCACTCCATCTCAGCCGTAGACTTTCTCTCAGGTGCCTGCCACTGTCATTTGGCTGTCATCCCCTCCTAGAGCCCTGTCCTGCGCAAGGCCACTTGTCTTAGGTCAGCGTGATGTCTCTAACTTGTCTACGTTCTCCAATCCTTGTGTTCCTCTTCCAAACATGTATGTTTCCATGCACTCGTGCAGAATTCTGTAGAATCGGATATTTATTTGGAATTGTTGTTTGAGCTCATGTGGTTCTCATTCCCTTTTAATATGAGTTTGGTCAACAGCAGTAAGGAATTACCAATGATCTTGAAATGTTAGGCATGTAGTTATGTATGAAATAATTCAATAAAAGCTATAATCATGCTCATGACACATGTATCAAATTGTGCAAGAATTAATTAATTACAATTTGTTAAAATTACTCATTCAACAACATCAGAAACTTCAGCTTTCATTCATAAGGCACTAAATCACGTAACCAAATGCCTCGAAGTGCCACTCTCGTACATAAGTAAGATGCTAATTTGTGGCATTCAGACTCATGGGGTGAAAAATATTTTGTTTAAATTATATTTCAAAAAATAACAACTACAAACAAGGTTTAAGATTTAACCAATGATCAACTCTTCCATAGAATAACGAGTCTTAAATAAGGAGAATCATAAAATCACCTCAGTGGATGAACATGCCGATGAATTTCCATAAAACTTCTTTCATCGTTTGAAATTTTTTGTGCTGATGGTTTTTGGTTGTGGTTCTACAGAACAGTCGAACTCATCAGACATTGGAAGCTAAGTCTGGGTGAGACTTAGATGGGAGACTACCTCGGAATACAGAGTCTTGTAAGTTTGGGCTTTGATGTGGCTAGGAGATGACAGTACTAGAGAGGTTTCATTGACTCCATCTGTGTGGAGCTTTGAGTGTTACCCCCTCGCATGGGCGGTGTGTTTTCTCCAGTTATTCCACTTTCCTTCCCAAACAAGAAGCCAAAAACTCATGAATGGAATTGCTTAAAACACCCCAGTGTAGCGGGACCCTCCTGCAAATAGCCTCTTGTGACTCAGCGAGGCTCCCCTGGGGACTTAAATCCAATCGCCATTATGACCTTCGACATCGTAATGAAAACATCCCTTGTTTAATAATCAATTGGTCAAACATATAATGGCGGACCCTCCTTGAAAGGTGTCTGGTGGCCCAGCGGGGCTCTCCCGTGTGAATGAATACCATTGTTTTTACATCGTCAGCATCGCCGTCAATCGTAATTTTGACAACGGGCAGATGTGGCAGGAAATGGAGCAGGAAAAGTTCAGCTTCGCGCAGTGGAGGAAGCGCTTCTCGCAACAGACGAAGCTGAAGAAGTCTCGTCTCATGGACATCTTCAAGCGTCTGGACGGAGACCAGGACGGCCGCATCACACGGGATGAGTTTGCCCGCGAGATCTCTCTGCTGGGTAAGAAGGAGAGAAGCCTCTCCCTGTCGAGACAATAGCAGCGTACAACCATCCATTCATCAACGTTATTTAGAACCAGGTGCCTATGACTAGATCACTTGGAATGGGCCCAATGTCGTCAGATCTCATGAGCTAAGCAGGGGTGGAGCCTGGATAGTGCTTAGATGGGTGACCCACAACACACACGTAAGAAATGTGTGGTAAGCAGCAGAGGGCAGTGAAGCAATATCCATCATTGTTCTGCACTTCTTTGCCCCACAATTCTCACGTCCATTCATCCCCGCCTTTACCAACCTGCAAGGGCCAATAAATCCTATGCTGCAATAAATCCTATGACCTGCACGCCTTGGGAAGACTTTCATCCAGCTACGTACGGTACGAAAGAAGTTCAACACACAGTACATGCATCGGGAGCACGAGACGTCAGTGCAATCGATGAGTCGATGCTTCGCTCGTAACTGGTGACGCTGGTCCATTTCCTGTAGGGCTGGGCAGCGAGGAGTGGGAGCTGGACGCCGTGGTCGGGAGGTTCGGGGTGCAGGAGGGCACGCTCGTGGACTACTACCAGTTCGTCTCCGAGCTGTGCCCCAGCAAAGCTGGCGGCAGCATGACAGACGCCGACAAGATCGACGACGAGGTGGGCTGTGCACCATGCACAGATGAGTTTCATTTTGTAAAGATGCACGAGCAAACGCGCAGGCATATGCCAACTCAATGCAACTCCAGCAGTAGTCCCTGCAAGAGCAATTTCGAAGTGTTTGTATGACTGCTATTGTGAGCGTGTAAATAATGCAAATAGATCATTAAGGAGCAAATTGGATAAAACATGAAATATCAGATCTGATGTTTCTCGAATTGGCAGGAAGCGTTGGTGAAGTGCGCTGTGAACCCGGTGATCCGAGTTCGATTCCCTAGCCTCGGCTAAGACCAGTGGAAAGTGATGTCTGAACCGCCCCTGGGCGACCGCTTCACAAACCCACACTGACTAGCGTGGTGAAGCATGCTCAAATAACCCCCATGACCAGCATGGCGTAGGGAGGACTTTATCCGGCAATGAATTCATGAACACGGCGGCGAGATGTTAACTACCTCGCCTGTTGTGAAGAAGGTCGTGGGTTTGATCCCAACCCTCGACGCCTGTATATTTGGAGCTTGTATGTTATGCCCGTGGTTGCGTGGATTTTTCTCCAGGTCCTCCAGTTTCTCTCTTAACGGTTGTTGCTAGAAGATTTCCACGTGATAAGCCACTTTGTTCAGATATCATTTGTGGCTAGGTTGCTTCAGAAAAAGAGCTTTATAGTTCAGTGGGCCTTATCTGGTAAAATATTAAATAGTTAATAGTAACAGCTATAAAAAATATGTGTTGAATCCAGAAAAAAGCGATATTTCTATACAGAATTCTATAATTTTTTTCATACAAAATAAACCTTTAAATGTTTTTTTTTTCGTAAAGAATATGGCTTACATTTTCTCCATTTAAAGATTTTTGGGTTAGATCGTAACCCACCACCACCCGAAACAGCCAACCAGTAAGGTTTGTCTTGTAAACAAAACGCGTCAATTAGTTACTACTTCAGCCCACCGGTGTGTTGGAGAGTAAATCCATAATATTGGTCGCGAAAGCGTACTGTGTCAAACTGGCATTTTCTTCTGAACTCATGTGCACAGATGTGAAACAGGTACTTTCACTATCCTGGTGATGTTCCAGTCTACATTGTAATCCAAATTGAGGTATTTGGATTTGTGTATGAAGATTGTAATTGTGTTGACGTACTTCTATACTCAGTGGTAACATCTTTGCTCATCACTGCCAGGTCATTAGAAAGGTGTCCGCCTGCAAATGTTCCCGGAGGTTCCAAGTGGAGCAAGTGGAAGAAAACAAATACAGGGTAAGTTTTACTGTTTGTTCAATCTGGGAAAAATAAAACCCCAACAAAATGCAATAAATGTGCACATTTGAAGATTTAAATATTCACCCAGAGACAGCGCCACAACTAAGGTCCCTGCTGAATTACATCAGAATGTTGCATGGTGGATGCGGATATCTTCAACGCCAGTATCGAATTATGAGTAGCTCACAGAGTGACTGTGGATCCCAATCTCAAAACCATGGACCACGTGGTCACATCCCCATGGGCTGTGGCATACTATGTGGCCTTTAATGGTGTGGCAATAAATAAGTAATATTAAAAAAAACCTCTTTTTAAAACACGCTTTAATGAAATGTACCTTACTAGTAATGGAAGTGCTCCAGGAAGTGGCCCCGAAGCTTGCCATAACGTAAGGGACCGTAGCCATTTAGAGCCAACGTCAGTTGACCATGGACAATTATAGCCAAGCCGAAACATCACATATAAAAAATAATGTTTCAAAATATGTTTTTTAATGATAGAACATAGTATTATCATCAGTATGACATAAGTATACCAAGTTTGCAGTTGATACCACATTGGGAAGTGGGTAAAACTTGAGTTACAAGATTTGAGGATACAACAACGACAACACAACGACAGAGTGAGTTAAATAAAAGCGTTTAAAAAAAAGATCCTTTACCATGATGGCCTATGACCAAATCACCCGGAATGCATTCGATCTTGTCAGACGTCGGAAGCTAAGCAGGTTTGGGCCTGCTTAGTGTTCAGGTGGATGACAGCAGTACACAACAGCTGTTAAAGGTCACAGGTCTGTGGCAGGCAGCAGAGGGCAGCGCAAAAAAATGTGTTATACTGTACACTCGTGCTCCTTGTATGTGTTCCCACCTTTATCGATGTGGTGAAATATGGTTTCCACCCCCCCCCCCCCACGATCCGCATGGTGTGGGGGATGCCCTCATCCAGCGGCTGCACGTGTGTGCATGCGCGCGTTACCATGCCGAGCCGTGCGTGGCGGCGGGAGTTCTTTTGACGTCGAGATTGTAGTGCAAACCCTCCCGCGGTGAACACCGCACTCATCAGCTGCGGCTATCGCTCGCAGTTTGGGGACTCGCAGCAGCTGCGCTTGGTGCGGATCCTGCGCAGCACGGTGATGGTGCGCGTGGGCGGGGGCTGGCTCTCGCTGGACGATTTCCTCCAGAAGAACGACCCGTGCAGAGGTACCGTGGCGCTCTGTCGCGCCACCCCCAATCTACCTTGTCACGGCCACTCGGAGAACCCAGTGGTAACACTTACGCCTTGCGGCAAGAGGTGCCCAGGTTTGATTCCCGACTAGAGCACCTCTGTGTGTTTGTATATCCTCGCCCTGTTCTGCATGGATTCTCCCCGTGTCATCCCGGTTCTCCCCCCATAACCACAAAAACACACTGGAGTGTCATTCTCGATTTGAAAATTTTGAAGATTTCGAAAATGTACCTTCAAATTACTCTTACGGTAGTCACCCTTTCCTGGCAGATTCATGCCGAGCTCCTAGCCAGCTGTTGAGTCGCCTTGTCACACACAAGGACAGCTTCCCGGAAGGTGCATCGAACACGTTTCATTATGTGGTGAAGAGAGCACAATGTCAATGTATTCATTCATTCAGTCATGGGAGGCTGTCTTAATTCTAAATGTGGACTTATTGGTGCCAGCTCAACTTCTGAGCCACCCATACACCCTGTCGCTCATAGGTTCATGTAAATTCGGCAGCCACGAAGAGGTTTCACTTCCACACCAATGGAATAAATAAATAGTTGATGATCGTATATTGTGACAATTTATTCTTAAGAAATTCTACCATTCTCAAATCTACACACGGATTTACAGGGATATTGACAGCTCAGGGAGGCCTTCAGCCAGAAGTTGATGTGTCTACGTATATTGAACTTCTTTCGCACCGTACGTAGCCAACCGTGCTAATCGTGACAACGACGGTGATGACAGTGAACGGAAGTCGGTGCCCGTCCTTATTGCTTGCCGGCTTCCATGTGCCACTGCAGCCAAGGGCCGCACCAACGTGGACCTGCGAGAGCGGCTGTCGTCGGGCGAGGGCGGCGGCAAGGCCATGGTGCTGTTCCGGAGCAAGAGTGGCGGCGGGAAGGTGGCGGCTCCGAGCCGACACAACTCCACCAGCAGCCTGCCCAGCCTGAGCGCCTGCCCTGAAGACGCCGCTCCAGCCGGCGGCAGCCGTGACTCCCAGCAGGTGTGCAAGTCGACAACGCGGCCGCGAGCTACGGCCTGATACGAATGTCGCACCGGTTGCCGACGATGTATATATAATAGAGCGGTGGTGACGTATGGGCAATGTTTGTGATGCTTCCCGCTCCCAACAGGCGTCCGATGCCGCTGCGAACAAATTTAAGAAGTCAGGAAATGGAAAGTCTGGGCGCAAGGAGCGCATTGGCCAGCTCAGCTGCTCCGTGTCCAGCATACCCTCCCACGCCCCGTCTTCAGGTAGACCGTGACTTGTTTGCTTTCTCTACATTTCTGTCTCTTACACTTATTTTTTTCCACTGCACAACAGAGCCGTTCTGGGGCCGTGCTGAGCTCGCCCGCGGTGTTGGCTCACGAGTCGCCATGTTGTCTTTCCACTTTTGAATCAAAGAAGCTGTGCCACTGAGGTCACGTGCACCGAGACTCGTCGAGACTCGTGTAGATCACACGCTGACACAGAACGTGTTATTCACTCCGATTGCTCAGTCTCGAGCTATAAACTATACAGGCGTCAGGGTCAGGATCGAACCCCCGACATCCTGTATAACCAGGCGAGGGAGTTCACATCTCACCACCACGACGTGTCTTGCGAGACCAGTGTACCACCGTCTGGTTCCACCTTTGCGCTGCTTGATGTTATCTCTTTGCTTTTCATTTGCTTTTTGATAACATGATATCGTTTACATAAATTATAAATTCGTGATTCTTATGCACATGATTCAGTGTATATACCACGAGCATAGAAATCGGGTTTGATGTGAACATTGTATGTGATGATACTGCATTGGCAGTGGTGCCCAAGTACAATTAACAAACAACACATTTGTTAATTACACTTCCTTAAAAGAACAAATGATAATTGGTGGCATTTCAGGCAATGGGGCCCTCTTCATAGCACTGTATTTTTTAAATGACATTTCACTCCTTGTCTCTCCACAATAATTATGCGATTTGTGTCCATGTCACGAGCTCCAGAATCAATTCGGACCTCGTGCAGTGCAATATAATCCCTTTATGTTGGATAGCAGTGAGCGGACACATTTATCCGCCCGCCTACTGACCCCTGGTGCCCGTGATATTCTCGTTTCAAAGCAGGCTCCCACAAGCCCTCGGGAATCCCTCCAGCAACCACTGCCGAGGCGCGTCCTGGGAACATCAGCAGCAGCAGGGTGTCCCCCACGCAGCGACGCAGTGGCACCGCGCCAGCTCCACTGGCAAGGATGGCCACCAAGGTCGAGCCATCCACAGCCCCGGCGGCCGACGGACCCAACCAGAAAGCCTCCCGGCCGCTGCCGGCCAAAGTGTCCAAGATTCCCACTCACGCGAGCCACGCGACCTCCCGGACAGCCACTTCCAATGGCCCAAAGCACTAGAGCCTTGTTTCGAAGGCGGCACGTTGTTTGGAATGCCCATTTTTGTTGTACGTACGTACATATGTTGAAGTTCTTTCGCACCGTACGTAGCCAACCATGCTACTCGGAGGTGCGGGCGAAGGACAACAAACTAAACGCGAAAAGCAGTTCGATATAAATGAGTTTTCAATTTAAAATGTGAAGCCATATAATATATTTTACAGCAGTTTGACCATAGTGAAGCCAGTCTTAACTGGGAGAATTCTACGTCCGAGCATATTTGATACCCACGATTCCACCCGAGAAAATTCCTGCAAGAACCAACAGTCTTCTATGGGTGGTTCCCCTGTTAAAATAGCCAATCAATTGAATGAGATCCTTACGGGAAAACGGCTATGGATGATTCGTGCAATAAGATGGGATTCTATTGAGATTCTGTTGCAGATATAGCTTAAATTTCGATTTAAAGCTTTCGTGACTGCAGGGATTCATGTTCTTGGTTCTTTCGGTAAAGTCACGTAGAAGGGAAATAATAAAATAATACACATAAAACATAATCAAATTAAATTCGTCGTGAGAATTTAATTTCATTATGTTTTATGTGTATTATTTTATTATTTCCCTTCTACGTGACTTTACCGAAAGAACCAAGAATACAGATATAGCATTAGCTAAGCATTGGCAATGTCATCCTATCAATAGGCCAAAATCGCCATTGCAATGCATTACTATGCTTCGAGCATAGAATTGGGCCGATTCCACGTTAATTGCAATGTGGCATTGAGGATACGAGGTCCCATAGGACCTAGATGGGCTCGTGGAGGCTGTCCCAGGGACGCTGCTTACCCACATCTGCTTCAGGATATCGCCAAGCCTAGCAAGGCAAGGCAGGCCCCACTAGCCCTACTCTCTCACCTGTATGGTATAATACAATTAGGGTGGAATTGGCCAAGTTTAATACAATAGACATTTGCACATGGTCCAGAGTGGTAGTCTCAGAAATCTGGGTGTTAGTTCTGAACACGATGAGCATCCTGAGGAGCTCTAGTCCTGAATATGCTTGGATATTTACGTGCTCAATTAAATGTCAAATGCTGCACTGGGAGGTAAAAAATGTCCGTGTGAAAGTTTTTATAAGCAGGATATTCTGTTTGTCAGTGCATGACGAGAGCCAGGAAATGAAGTGGTTCATTATCTACAGGTCAACATCTGACCCACCAGAGTTATTGTTACTTGTGCATACAACAGCCAATATTATGTACTCTTACCTCTTACACACGTCATAGGGTATGAAGATTTCACATCAGAAAACAATATAATTGGACCCTAGCATACAGGCCTGTTAACTGGGATGTCAACATTCTATTGTGAGTTGCTTTTTCAGTAAAATAACACTGCTAAATTTGAACTCCAGTGAACTCGATTACCTCTGGGTGGATTAACTGGCTTGTGGACTAACCTTGCTTGTGGCGTATAAAAATGTTTACACATGCCCGAGTTTCATTATTAGCTGGTCCTTAATCTAGAAGGGACAGCGACTCATGCCACCAATTATGCAAATCAATCGACAAGTAAACCCACTGCTTTAATATAAACATAGGATGCACTGTCAACTATTCTACATAGGTAAACACTTTTATCACCTAAATTACATGTTTTGCATTATCTGTTTTTTGTTACCAGTGCCACTCCTCCACACCATTACCCAAGATAATCCAGTTAAATGCAAGATAACAACCTTGAGGCATATGAAATGTGATCTTACCTGCACTGCCATGGGTATGTCTCATTGGCTTTTAGGCATCGGTGATACTATTTCATGAGATTTAAGGAATTGTTCTTGATGACAAACACTGTATTGCCACTAGAGAATTATGCATTAGTGCAAATAATAATTTTCCCTGTGGGTAGTAACTGCACCACGTTCCAAAAGCAATACTCGCAAGGTACAAATTAAAGGCGTGTGAATTTATATCCACTGGAATGCACGACTCGTAGAGTTCATTTGTTGCAGAACCACTGGCTGATTGTAAAACAAGTATTTAAAGAAACCACAGCTCCTCTAGTTTGAGATAATTTTATATATATTGGGGGAATGTTTTAATGGTAGTGGTTTAACGCTAAATGTAACTTATTTTAAGGATATTGAATGATGGTGATGTCAGAAATGGGAACGTTTGTGGGCATTTGTTTTGTAAATAGCTACCAAAGCCTGGTCGACATACACAGACCGATGTTATCTCTCTTTAACTGTGAAGTATTGTGCACGCACGAAGCATGAATTCCCCCGGGAATGCAATTAGACAACGCCACTATTGATGCGCATTTGCACATGGAAGCATTGGGACACCACGTGACCATGCTGGTACTTCACAGGTAAAGGGATAAGTCGGCACTGGCTGGTATCCCATCGTATATTCAGATATCTCTAGAAAGCTCACACTGCAATGAATGTCATAGTTTTATCATGCGTTATGTATCTTAAGCGAGTGGTTTTAGCTTTGGGACTATTAAGTAGCTGCAATGTGATATCAGGAAATGTTAACATTGTCTGTGCTGGCATTTGCCGTAGTTGTGCCGATGTTCGTTTAGAGCAGTGTGGACATCAGAGCTCCAGGTTGATCAAGTCACACTCTGTGGCTTTGCAATATTGTTCAATATAATCAAATCACTGAAAAAAGTTTGCTTTTTTTTTAAATGAGATTTTTAACTTGTAACATTTTTACAATTATACTACGCATTATAATGGGTCGTAGGATGCATGTCCCACATCATATTGCCAGATATTAAGGTCTTAGCTATATGGGTGTTTGCTCTTTCAAAAATAAAGGTACAGAATGACAAAACTCACTGCTGGTTTCTTTTATATTTCTTTCAAAATACCATTTGGCACTTAATATACAATGAAAACATGAAAATGAAAACACAATTCCAAAGTCTGGAATTACAATGTCGGGAGCTTAGCGTAAACATGATTACACTAATTGTACATCTACAAAATATTGTATACGAGTATAAAAGGATATAGTTTTAATAAAAAATGCCAACCATAAATAGAGTAGCATACGAATGAGCTGTACCATGCCACAATTTGCACATGTCCTTCATGGGAAAGCCAGGATTGAAGACACTTGTAAACAATGTTATATTTTACGAACAAAGACAATCCTGTTTTAAAGTATGCTCACAGTAAGAGCTGACTGCACTTCAGAGTGTTATACATGAAAAAAAAAATTCCAAAGAATTATCTCCCCCAAAAATCTCCAGAAGAAAAAAAACAACCATTGCCTGGTCATAGCAATCATTAAAATATCAGCATAAAAATAACACGCAGTTTATGCTTGAAGAGATACTAAGAGTAAACAAGTTGGGCACATTCTTGCAACCTGGGCTCTTTCGAGCCAAAACAGAATGCTGAGATTGTATCCCCAACTCACTACGTATAGAGACAACTGTTTACACAATCGATTGTCTAATATAGTCCCAACGTAAGGACGCGTTCCACAAGGCAAACCATTCATTTGACAGTCTCAAGTATTTGAGCGATGCTATTACCACCACTTTCCACCATCTATGAAAATGCTCATTCAATGCCATTTGGAGCACTCGTTCTGCCTCCATTGGCAGCGGGAGAGGGGAATGCTTACGAATGAGTCTTGGCTGGGTGAGTATAGGCACCTGTATAACAGCGGGTTTCCCCACAGCCAGCAGAATGGCTTGGTAGCCGAGGCACCATCACACCGCGGACAGCTCCATCGGGGGTCTGACCTAGCCCCTCCTTGACAGGATTTTTGGCAGAGTCTTCATTGAGACGGAGCCTTCGGGTGTCTGGCAACTCGGCCACGTTGCACGCTCTGCTGGCGAAAGGAAACTAATGACGACAACGCAGACGTCATCGCGTGCCTCCTCTCCAGTTGGATGAGCTAGTTATTATTTAGAGAGTTGCATTTTTTTACCCAGTGGCAATATGGCCTTTTCATTGCCAAAACATTTAGGCTTAAAGTATTTTATAACACTGCAAATAAAAACAAATATGTTGGGGCGAGTGTTTTCGTATAACCTTGAGGATAGTTCAGATACTTAATTCAATGCAAGATAAAGAAAGGAAGAGGTTTGACCCAAGGGTTTGGTGTGTGTTGGTTATTTTAAAAGGTTACGTTGTGTAGCAATGTGCTTTGAAGATTTATCATGAATGATACACGAAGAACAAAGATTAATTTTCAGAACATTGGAAGGTTGTTCGCACTAATGGCCAGCTTAGGTTCCAGTAGATTGGATTGAAGGGCTTTGTATCCATGTTGGTAAATTTTGTTTTCATAATAAATTATTAACATTTTTAGGATCTTGACATTTCTGAACCATTATTGTAACTGCAAAACAAATTTACTTCTGGTACCTACACAGTACTGGTAATGAAACCACATGTATGGGGCAATATTTCAAGTCTAAACTACATGGGACAAATCTTTGCACATTTTGTAATCTTGCATTCGCTTACTAGTCTCTCTACGTGGATTGCATTAAGGTTGAGTGTGAAATACAAATTCGTTTGTCCTACTGAGGGCAACACTGCTGCTGCTGCTCCACACTGCTCACATTTCTGTCCATGAATCGTAGGTTAGAATATTAAAAACGGTTCGCACTTTCTCTGAAAATAGTCGAGTAAGTGAAAATATTAGTACAGTAAAACCTTGGATAGCGAGCATAATTCGTTCCGGAAACGTGTTTGTAATCCAAAGCACTCGTAAATCAGTTGTGATCACGTGACGCTCGGCAAAGCATATACACGTACTACTCATATTGCAAGACCTCGCTCGTTTATCAAATTAATATTTATAAAAAAAATTGCTCGTCTTGCAAAACGCTCGCAGACCGAGTTACTCGCAATCCAAGGTTTTACTGCATTCTTTTTTCAAGTATGAACACCTACGCATGTCAAATTCGATCTAAGGGTAGTGTTTAGGTCTGCAGTCGCCACTGCACATTATTTCTTATAAATGAAAATATTTTCAGGTCACGTGACTATTTACTTCAAGATAAAATTAAAAAACTTAATTTAGCTAAATAAAATGTTGCTCGTAAGGAAAATGGAAAAAACATTCTGCAATTGTGGAGACCAATTTAAGATAAATACTGCAAGAGGAAAACAAAACCACATTTTGGCTAATCTGCAAAACTAACCAAGCACATTTGGCACACGTGACGAATAATTTATTCTGCTGGTTAACGGTGACGACAAGAATCTGTAATAACTCCCATAGCCACGAAAAAGTACATTGGTTAATTTTTCTATCTACGTGACTTTACCGAAAGACCCAAAGAGTATGAATTCCTGCAGTGACGAAAGCTTTAAGTCAAGATTTAATTAGCTTGTTAAATAAGAATACTAAGCATGATTTAACCATGGGATGGTTCAGTGATGTGGATGCTTGATAGGTATACATGCCCCAAGTGCTTTACGCCTGCAGGTAGGTTTGGGCCTTCTGCAGGCCTTCCTTGAGGAACTTCAGGTAGGTCGTGCTCGTTGGGTCCAGGAACTCGGCTGGGAGGTCCGGTGTCAGGTCCTCTGCTTTTACTGCGGTAGCATCCAAAAAGTCATTGGCATTGATGCAATGGACCTGGAACAGTGACACAAGAACATGGGGAGGCTTAATATGCGATGACCGCTGCATATATGTACATGGATAATATTCAGTATTGAATAATGCACGTGCTAACATATATAGTAAAAAGCACAGCGATGTGGTTGACGAAAGGTGGAGTGACAACAAGAAAATATTAAGTGCAAAAGTGTTCCCCTTCCAGTTGCAAGGCTAAAGGTTGTGGCATTTGTGACACGGAGAGAAAACACCAACACAATAGCAAGATTGGGTTGCCACCTTGTCCCAGTATTCCCAGAAAGTCCTCTTTCGGAAGTAGCTGTCCTGGGAAATTTGAATCGTTCTCCCCTCTCCTGTTAGTGTAAGATATTCTTATTTCCATCACATGTCCTATTTTATTGTACCTCAAGAGGTGGCAACCCGAGGTGTAAGAGAGGAATCAATTCTTCCCAAGAACCAATTCCAACACGAGAGCTGTAAAGAAAACAAGACCTACCACTGTCCCGTTTGGCAGGGCAATCATCATCTCCACTGGGAATGTGTATTTTGCGAGGTGCAGCGTCGCCCATTTCGCATGCTCCGCTTGCTCCTCCTGCTTCTGTAACAGAAATAAAACAGGAATGCTCGCAGTCAGAATAAAACACCTTCAATCCAGCAGAACTTCATGTCATGATACAAACACATTCATTTAGTTATTCAGAAAGTGCCGAATTTAAATGAGAGTTTTGCATTGAAATGTTTGGCCAGTTATATTTTAAATAATTTTAGATTTTTGGAGGTAAACTGGGGGTAACTGGAGACAAACCCATGCATACAAGGAGATCTAACATTCAAAGGTCTAAACAGATCGGTTCACCAACCCATGTGCTATACTGCCATCTTCAGGAAACCTCGCAGCACAGAAGGATTTGGCGCTTTAGATATGTACGTTATACACAATCCTTCGTGTGTAAAGAACTGGATAAGATGCATGCACCAAAGCACCCAGCGTTAAAACACGGATGGGTACGGTACGTGAGAGTACACCACAGCAAATTAAGCTTTGTGGCGAGCTAACATACACGAAGGAAGAATAACTTTGTAAAAGAGTCGGGGATCTTTCCCGCACCTCCGATTAGCACGGTTGCCTACTTACAGTGGGAAAGGAGTTCAACATACATACACGCGCTAACAAACGAAAAAGCAACGTCTGATGGAAGACAGCCAGATTGCATTCACCTGGATGGTGTGCATGTAGCTGCTGCCTTATACAAACAGAGATTCGAGCAGAAATGGCAGCAACATGCCTGAAGATGGCAGGCGTCGTTGATATCGACGTTGACGAGGCGAGAAAGTGACAGAGACACAGGGACGACGCGTCGCACCTTCAGGTCCTCCAGGTCCTTGACCAGCGACCAGCTGCTGATGAAGTTCTCGCTCAGCAGGGCGAGGACGGGCAAACTCTCCAGGGCAGTCTCCCGGAGGGTTCGCCCCGAACCTGCCCACACAAAAACGCCGAGGGGGGCACGAGCGTCAAACACCTACACCGTCAAGAGACTAAAAGGTAGCGTTCGTTCGTGCTGCTCGTCAAGATATCTATTGCCCTTAAAATAAACGTGTATAACACTCAATAGCGAAGATGTGAATGCTTGCCATGTCAAGTTGCCAAGTTCAGATTTGTCTCTGGGACACAGAATCTTTCAAAAATAATGTGTATAAATAAATAGTGATATATAGTGATCGACTTGCAATTGGAAGGTTGCGAGTTCAGGGGTTGACCCAGGCCTCCATTATTAAAATGTGTGGGGAAAATAGACAAGTGGTAGTCTGAGGATAACACTGGCCCACGTCACAGCAATGTGGAATTTGCACTGCTGCTCATGGCTGGGGATGATTATCCCCCCCTATGCTCAATAGAGCAGGACATCATTTTGACTTTTGACCCTGTCAAATTTGTAAAAGCCAGTATTAACACCAACCTCAGCAGGATTGGTCATCCAACGCCCCCCAGAGTAATATGGAGTGGACCAGCTTGTCTTCTGCCTTTGCTTTTTCAAAGGCTTCCGTGAAAGGATGATATTGAATCTAACAGACAGAATAAACACAAGTATACAGTACAGAATAAACACTTCAAGTAAAATAAATAATTCATCCATGTAGTATAAATGGTGATGCAACATCACATTAGGTCAGCACTGACATTAACAATACATTGATTTCCCTTGGCATGAACATCAGCCGTGAGTTTAAAGCATAACTTTAACAATGAATGTGAAAAAAAAATTCAACGATTTTAATAAAAATTTGTATTAAAATGAAACGTAAATTTGTGAAAACTCACCATTGTCAACAACCCTGCCTTAAATGAAAAAAAATATTTAAATAGGCGACGTTTTTGGCAATGTCCCTGCTTCATAGGAGATGAGTGATGTTGCATTGTTGTGTACATGGTTGCAAGTGTTGTTGACGAATGTGTCAAATTTGTTGTTATTTGTGCTTTTGCAGCCTGGTATACAGGAGAGGTTGTGGATTCAATCCTGACCCCGACGCCTTTATATTTGTAGTTTGCATATTCTTCCCGTGGTCACGTAAAATTTTCTCTGGGTTCTCCGGTTTTTACCTGCACATTTAGAACCAACATGCGTTTTGAGTATTTGGCTGCTAGAAATTTCCACACGATGAGCCTCTTTGTTGAGCTATCAATCTGTAGCCAGGTCGCTTCTGAAAAAGAGCTATATAGCTCAGTGGGCCTTACCTGATAAAATAAAAGAGTTTCTAGTTTTTTATCGTTTATAGTTTAAATTAGCACACGTGGCAGTGTGTTCAGCATCAAAGCCATGATCCAACCCAGTGCTTACCTTCTTGAATGGATACATGGCGACCTCCATTTGTCTGTAGGCTTCCTGGAAGCTGATCTCTGACCGCCACTCAATGTTCTCAAACACAAACTGGATGGGCTCCGCGTCCGGGTCGCTCGTGTTAATCGCGTTGCCGTTTTCATCGTAAATCAGCGCTGGCACTGAAGGATCCTTCAGCAACCAGCTCCATCTGCAATTTCAAGAGAGAGGGCATCTGTCACTTGCTGCCCATTATCATCTTCATACATTTGTATTCATCAAGTACTATATATTTTGATTGATAAAGAAATGTAAATTATTATAATATTCATCATCAGCCTTGGTCAATCCACTGCTGGATGAACATCTCCTCAAGCTGCTGCCACCTGTCCTGATCCTGCAATGTAATAATCCACCGAGCACTTGCACACGATGGTGGACATTCTCTGAGATACATTCATTATCATTTCAAAATCTCTAACAGGTCTCATAACCCAACGAATAATCTCCCGTATACCAGCTGCATCTCAACTAGAATGTGAATGCGCAATAGAGATGTACCATTATTATATTTATACCCTGGTAGTCTCTATCAGTCACTGCATAATGGTCAAGTAAAGTACATTTCATTTTTGCTTACACACATGGCACCTGCCTGGCACAAATCTGCCACTAAAAGCGGAATCACATTAAAACTCAAACATAAAAAAATACCCTTTCACGCAAATGTATACCTGAAAGAATTTATATTTATATTTTAACGCTCAAATCATAATCATCCCTTGTGTTATTTTATCAGCAACACACCTTTGGCATGAATCCAATATCCACCTCCATGTTGCCCTGATCCATGGAGCCAAACAGCCACTCCATGTCCACGTTCAGGGACCTGTGAAGTTTCAAACAAGAAGAGGTATTTTAACGCACATTACCAACACCTGTCCAATTGTCACGCGTATGCTTGGGTGTAGCTCTCCCAAGTCAATTCTTCAAAGTCTACTCGTCTTAACCGCTACGTTTTCAAGCACTTGAGCTGCTCAAAATCATTCTAGTAATTTTGTGCAGCTAAAGTGCTTGAAAACATAGCGGGCTTTGATCTCAGTAAGATAATTAAGCACGAACAAATTATCAATTGTAACAATTTTTAAGCTTACGACACAAAGCATTAAATATTCAGTGTAAGAATCGATTAATATTAGTTGCGATTTACATATTCACAGAAACCCCGGGGGTTTATGTAAATGTTGCAGCCACTAGAGTTTGTAAAATAGTGGAATAAAATGTTCTTGAATTTAATTTTAACACAAACTTGAGACAATTCAGTGAATTGTATTACATCACTAAAAACTAAACAATTTGTATTTTACCAGGTAAGGTCCACTGAGTACGTATGTTGAACTTCTTTTGCACTGTACGTAGCCCACGATGCAAATCTAAAGGTGCGGCTTATCATGTGAAAATTTACATCAGCCAAATATTCTAAACACATGTTTCTAAACGTCGAGGGAAAACTTGAGGGCCCGAAGAGAAATCCACGCGACCACGGGGAGACCATGCAAACTCCAAATATACATGTGTCAGGGTCAGGGTCGAACCCACAATCTTATGTATACCAGGCGAGGTAGTGAACATCTCGTGGCCGTGGCACCCCAGGTATACGATGGATCAAAGCAATTAAATTACTGCAGATGTTTTCATCAAGTGGATTACGGTTTCCTGGCAGGACCTCATACTAGTTTGCAGAAATGTTATTTTAAAGGCTCTTTAACAAATTGTACTGCATTCATCACTACTGAATTTCAGATGGTAGGCCTTAATATCGTATACAAATATAAAATCTGATATTGAAACATTAAAAAAATAATGAAAAATGAATTTGCGCTGGCTAAAATATCGACAAATTTGTTTAAACTTTTGTTTTTTGGCCTAAGCCCACAAACATCAAACATTGTACCTGAACCTTTGAAGTGGGCTTAATAAGCCAAATTTCCTTTAACTATACTGTGGGTAATTTTAATAGTCTGATGCTGAAGCTCATAAGAAAGTAGGTGAAGCCTTTTTTTCAATTTTGTTAACCTTATTTTTGTGTATAATATATATTATAGTTTTGAAAAATGTTTTGGTCTGCAATCATTTCCTTACCGAGGGAAGTCTACAGTACAGAAAGCATACTTCCCCCTTGTCATGATGGTGTTACTCGTGTTATATATTCCCTTTGATGTGATTTTTGATGTTGGTTCAATTAAGAAAATGTCCATTTGTTCTGGTGCCTTGCGATATACTACACTGGAAGAATTGTATAAATAAATTATATATTATGATGATCCAAGATCCACGTCCTGCACAAAACTCTCTCGTGCTCTGTAGTCATCCCCGTTGACTTTGAGAACTGTGCACGTGCGACCTTCTCACCGATTGTTTGGCACAAACATGTGGAATGCGCGGACGTGGGAGGAGTCCCGTGCGATGGTCACATGTCCGGTGAACTGCGCCGGGGTGAACCAGAACGGGAAGGCGGGCGGCTCGTTGAGCTGGAACTCCGCATGAACCCTGTGGTGCACAGACGCAACTGACAAATCCATCAACTGTGATCAATCCACTGCTGGACAAAGGCCTCTCCAAGCCGCCGCCTGAGCATGGAGGGGTGACGCAATGGACAGCGGACTTCATTATGATTCCGGTGACTTGAGTTTTATTCCTGGCCACGGATGTTGGCGGTGATATCTCAACTGGTCCTTGGGCAGATCACCCCTTTCACCAACCCGCCCTGACAAGATGAAGTATGGTCAAACAACCCCAATGACACAGCGTAGGAAGGCCTCCATTCATAAGAAAAGTGAAAATGGAGTTATATATCATTCTGCTATTCAAATTATTCTATGCCTTGAGTTTTCTGGCTGGCTCCTGGATGATCTCCTCTCTACTCCAACAATAGGCCATTGCCACCAAAAACTACCTGGATAACTGGCAAATTCTGATTATTTTTACGAGCAGAAGTTCAAAAGGCATCATGATATATCATAGCGACACCGAATGTGAAAGTAACAAATAAACAAGACTAACACGGTTAATTTAAAATTGCTCTAACTTTTCAGTTTATGCTCCTATGAATGCAAATATTTTGCCAGAATATTCTTTAAAACATCGAGTATTAAAAAAAAAACTCACAATACGCATTTTCTTGTCATATTATTAAATAAAATAGCGGATTACTTTTAGTGCTGAGTACAGGATTGTGCGTAGAACATTAATATGACGGCGGTCTCTTATTTTCCATTGCAGAGAAAGGGGAGTCCAGTTTAAATAAAAATTGCATTTTATTTTGCTTAAATGAATTGACTCACTGGCCATTATCCACCAGAAAAGGGTTTCACTTTAGCAGCCACTACTGGTGTTGCGTCCCAATTATTATTTATTTTATCTATTATTCAACATAAATAAATACACGTAAAAGTGTGTATCCCGTTCACGAGTGAGATATGTTTTTCGTAAGATGTATCCAATTTAATTCCGTCAGTTCATTTAAATAAACTGCACTTATTGAGATAAAAGTTAGTATTTCAATGTTGTTCAGTTTGTCATTATAAAGAAACACCACACGTTCAACTTGAAACATACAAATGTGTAATTGCCATCTAAATATCTCCATTTAATAAGTTACACTAGTGGGTATATTTTAATTCATAACATTGGTTTCTAGTAACATTTAGGTAATACATTGTGAATGACTAACTCAATGGATGGTTCTTTAGAAGAGACCTTTCAAATCAAGAAAACGTGCTTTGCTCTTATGTTCAGTTGGAAAGTTGCCCTTTACAGTCCCTCCAGAAAAACGCGGAGTTTTTTGGTGATTGTTGCGGGCAAAAATCTTGATTATGCGGCACGTTTTCTTAAAAAATGCGATGGAATATGCGGGATATTTATGCAATTTTATGCGATTAAATTGCGGGAACTTGCAAAAATTGCGGGAACTTGCAAAAACTGCGGTTTGATGAAAAAGAGAAAAAAAAGTGATTCCCCCAACACCCTATTCACTAGGCTACTACTTTAATGTAAAGAGTCATTTCTTATTACTTCCTATGATAAGCAAGCATACTACATCACAGAAAGTGCTGGGAATATTTAAGTTCTCATCTTGTTTTATTTCAGACCTTAACAAACAGATGGCTCAAACTTACAAAACATTGAGTCGAACAAGTTCTGTAGCTTTACAAAATGAATATGCTACAACTTCTGTAAAAATGAATAAATAAAATATTAAAAAATAAAATGTGTGCTTCCTGTTTTACAGAGGTAGCTATACAAAACAGACATCTTCTGTTAAAATAAGTGTTTTCAGTGCACAGTAACGTAAGCAATACAGTAACAGTACAGTCTTACAGTAATGTAAATTTACATACTACTAACAAAAAAGTGAAATCTTACAACTGTAATGAGTGACGTCACTTCATAACGTTCCCATGGCAACAGGGGAAATGGCTGCGCTTGTGTGAAGTAAACGCAACATTTTTCAACTTTCTGCTAAGATATGTGACTTTTTGCAACGAAAATGCGGGGATTATGAAATCATGCAAGCCCGCATATTTTGCGCACGGAAATCTGCAATTTATGCGGCGAAAGTGCGGCGTATTTGAAAAAAACGCGCCCCCCGCATAAATATGCGGACTTTGGCTGATTTTGCGTGGAATCTTGCGATCGCATAATCGCGTTTTTCTGGAGGGACTGCCTTTAGGTAGAAATGTAGAGACACGTATTTGTTCACTTCATCACAATGGCCTTCATGGAGAATGATTCAATACAAATGAATAGCATTGTTAAATGGCCTTTTGCATTTCGAATGTGAAAGCCCAAAACGTGTCATGCACAAAAGTGACCTTACTGCTATGGTAATAACAATAATCACCTTTTCATTAAACAATTTCTATTCATTTCAAAATTACAAGCGTTCTACAGGATATACCTGTAATGAACACAATCCTTAAACATCTAACAACCATTCATCTATTATATTCACCCTCAAAGAAAGCTTAATGTAAAGAAACAAGTTTTGCCAAATCTATTGCTGAATCATTAACATTATATTTTTGCAGGAAAGAGTTCGAATTTCTGAATAGATGTCATCAGCAGGTTATTGAATTGCTGCCAGAAGCGAAGTTGAAAGACACACCCTTTTGAGAACAATGAGCCATCCCGTCACGCTGAAGACACAGCGTAGGATCGTCACACGTGGTTCACAAGCCCCATTCACGACCATCACCTTCACACGCACTTCACCAGCAGTTGTGAAACCTGAGCCGTACCTGAACACGATGTCGTAATACATGTCGCTCTGTGCGCGAATGCACGCCACGGAACCCTGGGGGGCGAAGCGTGACTTCACGAAGGGCCGTGGGTGAAGCATGCTCAGAAGCTTGAAAATGATGATCTGCCCCAGCATTGCACACGGACACAAACACACCCACGGTTAGCAGCATAAAACCATCGCAACGAGCGATATTATGCAGAACATGGGAAACCCGGCACGGAAGGGGATGAAACATTACACCAAGTCGCATTTGTTTAGTCAGGGTTCACATTTATACACCGATCCATTTCTGTATACCTACCCCCAATGATGTATTAGGACGATCACTTTCTTTTCAACAGGTAATTGAATATTGTGAAAGTGACGGCTCCATATCTTACAGACGAAAGTGTTTGACGATTTAATAAGTGGGTTGAGATTTGTCGGAGGCATAAAGAGGCTTTTAAATACAATGTTTTCTCTATAATTTTCCACTTCTTTAATATTTTTCTGAGATATCTATAAATAAATCACCCAGTATATTTCAGTCAAGTGTTTTATACTTATTTTAGGCTGGAAAGAAAGAACCTGACAGTTAGTGTCTAGGGAGTACACGCAGAAAAGGGCACACATTGTGGACTGTCTGGAATTGAACTCAGGGCCCTTTGGTTGTGGCTGAGCGAACATATCGCCACACCCCAAAGCTACACAATTGGGTGTGCACGTGCGCAATCGCACGCACACGCAAGAGGCAAGTGCATGTGAAATGTCACAGCAAGGATTCAACAAACAATACACCCCCCAGGTGTGACAAGAAAGGGGTCAACAGATGTCATGTCAGGCCACACTTAGCTAAAATGCTCTGTGGAGCCTACGAAAACGTAACTGATAGAAGCAACAAATCAAAACTGTGCTGTGATCTTTATTAAAATGTGATTAATTCTCAAGAACAATAAGGATGCACATTACTGTGGCTTCATGTATCGTATCAGATTGACATCTAATGTTCCAAGCAGCTCAAGGGTGTGCAACTATTGTGGTCATTACCTCTTTTGCAACAGGCGGTGGTGGGTAGTAGCGGCTGTTGGGCAGATACCCGGTAAAGAGGTTCAGATCGTTGGGCACGATCCACCAGGCTTCCCCCAGCTCTAGGTCGCTCTTTGGGGGCAGAAACACCTTGAACTGGTTTGCGCCAAAGTGCTGACTTGGGGTCTCCGCCTTCTTCCAGCTGCGCAGACCGGCAAGGCAGCTCTGTCCAACCTGACAGCAAAACAAACCCAGCAACAGCTAAAGACAGAGGTGTATGCACTGTATGTTGAACTTCTTTCGCACCGTACGTAGCCAACCGTGGTAATCAGAGGTGTGGGGGAAGGACAACAAACTAAACATAAAAAAGGATGTATGTGGAGGGAGAGGTGTGGGGCAGTAGTTCACACACTGCACAGTTACCGTTTTCACCAGGTGAAGCCCAGGCATGGTGTAGATATTGCTCGCCACTGATGCTAGCCGTGACCGGGAATCAATCTCAAGTCATCGGGTTCCTCGAGCAATGCAAAAACCACAGTTCCGTGTCTCTCTCCAACATATAAGATATGTGAAGATTCATACTCGTAGCCAATTAGCTAGTTGGTTGGGGTATGTGTATGGAATATTACTAGTGGCTGGGTTGGCTAGTTAGGGTCAGGGAACAATAGGGGGGCTAACGACACAGTTGTAGACAACCCTACAGCTATTCCCGCAATGCTTAAACACAGCCACCATTGATAGCTATATTTCAATCCGAGTAGGCAGCCCTTGCTTGCGCTCACCCCCAGGAATCCGTCTCGGCTCTTGCTCATGGTCTCCATCAGCAGCGGCTCAAACCGAGCCAACATGGTGAGGCCCTCCCCCTGCGGGTCGGCCTCTTGCGTTCCTTCATACTCCGAAGGGGGCGGCCCTGCGGTAATCAAGGACACGTGGGCATTTTGCGAATTCCAGAGGCAGTCAAAGGGTTTATGAAAAACAATTACTGAGACACCAACTATTCAAGTAAAAATAAAAACAAATGATAATTGGCACTGGGGTTGGATCGATTTCCCTTACCGCTGTCCCCATCCAACCCCAGCGATTAAATGTAATTCTGAGATTCAGGGTCACGGTTTGATTAAAAAAGCTATTTTTAACATTACAGTGAATTGTAGTGCCTCTAAAAGCTGCAGGGGTGACATGAACCCATTACATACAACATGAAACGACAATTTCAGTGGTTTGAAATTCCACTGCTGGATGAAAGCTTACCAAAACGTCACCAAACTGATCAGTGTGGGTTGGTTAATGGGGCATCTACAACCGGTTTAGATATTACTCGCCACTTACACTGACCAGGACCTAAAAATCTAACTCAAGTCACTGAGACCATAGCACAACATATAAAATATCGATGAATCCTTGTACCCTTCCACCGCAAAAAGGAAGACCGCAGAATTCTGAGAAATATGCGCAGGTCTGGTGTTTACCTATGATCTTGTCGACAATGGGCCGGAACTCCTCGGGGCTGATTTGCATGTCCATGTTGGTGTCCAGGGAGGTGAAAAGGAACAGCCCGTCATTGCCCAGTGTTCGCAGGGCCATTTCCTGCCAGGCAATTAGCGATTCAGCCACATTTGGTCACGGGCACACACGTACGCCACGTCAGCACACTCAGCCAGCAACACCGGCAGCACGCACAGAATTTTTTTGTAAACCCGCACCCAACCCAATAACAACCATGTTAGTTTTACTAGGTGCAAGAAAAACATTTGAATATAATACATGTGTATGTTATTGAATTAAAGCCGGATCAACATTTATATTTGAGGTTTGCTTCATGGTCATACGTGCCACCCATGCACGGAAACTTTTTTAGTCTGCCCCATAAATTGTATTATGTATCGTGCATCAGTGCATGTACGTGTACATACGTGTGCAAGTGCATGTACTGTATATGCACGCTTGTCGACCCTGCATGTGCACGCTTTCAAACTTGCTTGGTGCTTGGATGCAAGAACGCCGGGTAAAACCAAGTGTTGTAGCAGTGCATGATGGCCAGGAGATGGCAATGGATATTTAAATAATCTCTGCAGAGCGTTAACTCTACACCCTTGTACGCATGAGTTTTGAATGGGTACACTAATATACAGTACTTGCACATACCAAAAGCTCACGAATAGAATTGGCAGAAAATTGTGATGTGGTTCTCACCCGATTGGACTCAGCGAGGGCTGCCGGAGCCAGCAATATACACTATTGTACTCCACTATCACTGCATCCATTTAACTAAAAGCAGCCATTTGCTAAGGTGGAAAATAGCCAGGCAATAAATACAATGCATGACCGTGCCATCAAAAGCCAGGCCTCGTGGTGTAGGACTGTAATTGAGCACTTGGGAAGCAAGCATTGGTGGGGATCACTACGTTTTGTGAAACTTCCACACACGCCTGGCTGCGAAAGGGCCAGGCATTGGTAATGCAGCAAGTAGATTCCTGACCTATCTGTACAGACTTTAGAGCATTGCCCCTTCATAGGCAGTGGTTTTTCTCTGAAAACTCAATGAAAAGTTTTATCCAACACACAACTTCTTCTTGAAGTGGGAATTTTTGCACACATACAGGACCCTACTCAGTCTTCACATTTTCAAAAAATGTACTGAATAACATATTACTATTAATGTAACATAAGCAATATGCTGATGACAATAAACACCCAACTGCTGGCGATAGGTTCTAAAACGTTACTGACCTCTCGGTCGGTAACATCGTGAATGAACCTTCTGTAACAAAATACATAAATGTTCGACAACTGGAGGTGACGTCACCACAGCTCCTGTGCCAAGCTTGGTGCACATTCACGCAACGTGATTGTCAAAGTCTTCCTGGCAGGTCACCAGACAGACTCAGGTGTTAACGAACTTGAGACAACTGGCAGACCCGCAACCACCGTGCCAACGTGGCCACACAGAATCTCGTGGATATAGACACACAATCTCACGCAATCACATGGAGGCACAATCTCACAGTCCCATCGAAACACAAATAATTTCGATATCGTTAACAGTTCTTGCATATCCACTGCTGGATGAATGCCTCCCCATGCAGTCACATCCACCACGGTCCTGTGGTGATACCATCCGGCTCACTCCCTTCACCAACCCGTACTGACCCACAAAGACACACGATAATACCCACATGAAGACACACAAGCTCACACACATTCAAGTGGATATTGCACACATGGAGACAATCACAGACACACAATCCCATGGTGATAACCAATCTGACCAACACACAATCACGTTAAGACACAATTCCAATGAGATATAAAGTCACACGAAGATCCCATCATATTTACATGGAGACGTACAACCACACACACACGGATAAACACCATCACATGCTGTACACATTGAGACACAATCACATGTAGACACACCATGACATGTAGACACACATGTAGACCCACACCATGACATGTAGACACACATGTAGACCCACACCATGACATGTAGACACACACCATCACATGTAGACACACATGTAGACACACACACACCACAACATGTAGACACACATGTAGAGACACCCCATGACATGTAGACACACACCACGACATGTAGACACACACCATGACATGTAGACACACACACACACCATCACATGTAGACACACACCACAACACGTAGACACACATGTAGACCCACACCATGACATGTAGACACACACCATCACATGTAGACACACATGTAGACACACACACACCACAACATGTAGACACACACACCATCACATGTAGACACACATGTAGACACACACCACAACATGTAGACACACACCATCACATATAGACACACATGTAGACACACACCACAACATGTAGGCACACACCACGACATGTAGACACACACCATCACATGTAGACACACACCATCACATGTAGACACACACCATCACATGTAGACACACACCATCACATGCAGACACACACCATCACATGCAGACACACACATCACATGCAGACACACACCATCAACATGTAGACACACACCATCACATGTAGACACATGTAGACACACACATCACATGCAGACACACACCATCAACATGTAGACACACACCATCACATGTAGACACACACCATCACATGTAGACACACATGTAGACACACACCACAACATGTAGACACACACCACGACATGTAGACACACACCATGACATGTAGACACACACACACCATCACATGTAGACACACACCACAACACGTAGACACACATGTAGATACACACCATCACATGTAGACACACATGTAGACACACACCACAACATGTAGACACACACCACGACATGTAGACACACACCATGACATGTAGACACACACACACACCATCACATGTAGACACACACCACAACACGTAGACACACATGTAGATACACACCATCACATGTAGACACATACACAGACACACACCACAACACGTAGACACACATGTAGACACACACCACAACATGTAGACACATACACAGACACACACCACAACACGTAGACACACATGTAGACACACACCACCACACGTAGACACACACCACCACATGTAGACACACACACACACCATCACATGCAGACACACACCATCACATGCAGACACACATGTAGACACACACCACAACATGTAGACACACACCACGACATGTAGACACACACCATGACATGTAGACACACACCATCACACGTAGACACACACCATCACATGTAGACACACACACACACCATCACATGCAGACACACACCATCACATGCAGACACACACCATCACATGTAGACACACATGTAGACACACACCACAACATGTAGACACACACCACAACATGTAGACACACACCACGACATGTAGACACACACCATCACATGTAGACACACACCATCACATGTAGACACACACCATCACATGCAGACACACACGTAGACACACACCATCACATGTAGACACACACCATCACATGTAGACACACACCATCACATGTAGACACACACAATCACATGTAGACACACACGTAGACGCACACCACAACACGTAGACACACACGTAGACACACACCACCACACGTAGACACACATGTAGACACACACCACAACATGTAGACACATACACAGACACACACCACAACACGTAGACACACACACCATCACATGTAGACACACACACGGCAGCTGTGTGTGTTACCTGTCTCTCCATCACGCCCCTGTCCGCGTACAACTTCACCGCGGCCGCCAGCAGCGCAGCGCCGAGGGCGCACGACACCCAGAGGGCGGCCGCCCTCCAGGAGGAGGCCCTGGTGGAGGCCCTGGTGGAGGCCGTGGTGGAGGAGGTGGTGGAGGTGGTGGAGGCCCTGCAGGAGGAGGAGGAGGCCATCGTGGTGTCCCCGTCGCCCCGCGCGCCCACCACGCCGCTGCCCACGTCTCTTCTGTTCCCCGTGTCGCCGTGGCCCACGGTCGCCATTGCGTTCACAACAACAACAACGACCACCACCACTACCCTTTAAAACAATAACAACAACAACAACAACACGGAGAACACTAAAGCCACCGGGGCTGTTAGTGGCCAAAAGTGGTGGTGGTGGTGGGCCTCATTCAGCCATCGCTGCTGCTGCTGCTGCCGCTTCGTCTCATTCGCCAGCGCGCTCACCACTCACGTTAGTCCGCGACTCAGAGACATCGACTCACAAAGACACAACCAAGGACCTCGTCGACCACCGCCGCTGCGACAATAGCGGAGAAATGAGCGTGGGTCGTGTGTGAGTGTGTCAAATAAAGCCTCGTCTGGAACGCAATTGTCTCTCTCTCTCTGGTGCGGCCACGGCCGTTCCCTGCCGCGCAGAAGTTACCAATGGCGAGTGACGTGCGTGTCACCCTCCCCCACGGCCACTCACGTCACGTCTCTCTCGCTCTCTCGCCTGCAGTTCAATGTCCTGCCACTGGGGTGGGATATCGATTGTATATTTGAAGCTTTCGTGACTGCAAGGATTCATACTCATAGGTTTTTTCGGTAAAGTCACGTAGGTATCGAGTTAAAGCGACCCTCTGCGGTTCAATCTTGTTGTTGTTTGTTCGTGTGGTTTGCGTGGTTTGCGTGATTTTGTGGTCGAACCACCTTAGCCAGCAAAATATGGGAGAGTGGTTGGGGCCAAACAATCACAAGCCAACATCGGTTCTAAAATTGTAAAGGATGTTGATTCACTCTTTAACATACCGGTGGGCTAAAGTCGTGAACTATTTGTCTTGTGTAAACGTGAGACATATTTTACTATATTCTTGGTTCTTTCAGTAAAGTCAAGTGACTTAATAAAATGATAAACAATTGTTTGATAATTTTATTATTTTATTATTTCCCTTCTACGTGACTTTACCGAAAGAACCAATAATATGAATCCCTGCAGTCACGAAAGCTTTAAATCGACATTTTTTACTGTTTGGCCGTGTCGGGTGGTGGAGGGTTACGACACATTTATAACTAACGTGATCTAACCCAAAAACCTTTATTATGAATCGGTTCTATGTTTACTGCGTATAGAGACCCATACCTTAAAAGACAGGGCCCTTGCCTGTTACATTATAACTCATCACACCTACAGTGCTTGCCACAAATGAACCGCAGTACCTTGCTGACATCGTCAAGCAACATAAACCATCATCACGAGAACTCCGCTCATCCTCGCAGCGGCTTTTGGCGAGACATCCAGCGAAGACGGCCACTGCATCACGCAAACTTTCAGATGCGCTTCTTCGGCCGTCTGGAACGCTCTGCCTTCCGATATTAGGAAGTCACTGGGAGCTATGCACTTTTAATCTAGATTGAAAACTAATTTCTTGATAACTTATTTTAGTTCACTGTCCTTCCTCCGCATCCCCGATTAGCATGGTACATTCACCCAGATCCAGAATAATGCTGGTGAACAGAGTGGAACAATGTGTGCGTCCGGAATGACCACCTCATTCGAGACACAAACATCGCAAAATCTTGGTTACACCAGACTCTAAGAGTCTCTAAGAGTCTGGTGTAACCATTCACTGTATCAGAACATCGACAGGCCGATGCGCATATCTGTTTCAGAAATGGGAAATTAAAGCCAAGCCACGTTAGTGCGGACGTGGCCATGCAACCCAAACTACGGACCACACAGTAAACCAATGTTGTCTGCTCTCTTTCAATATCAAAACTACACGAACTCCCTCCTGAAGCCCTCTCGTAGGTTGAAGAATTCGACATTGGCATTTATCTCCTGATCATATTGTTTGGAAAAGCAGATTATGCAAGGCACAGTAGCCGGTACACATGGGCGAGGAAGACCAAGGATGGCATGGATGGATAACATCAAAGCATGGACGAGGCTCAAGCTGGAATAGACAATTAGGATGATAGCAGAAGACAGAAGTCAGTGGCGAGAGATTGCCCATGGTGCGGCCAAGCCTCGGATCGGGGATGGCTGAAGACAAGGACATGTTGCCATATGCAAGAGTAGAATTCTACAATGCGGGACGAGGCTCGTAAAACAATTGTGACGTTTGTGTGTGGGATTTTGCATTCAACTACCCAGCAAACACACAACATTGGCGTCAATGTTCAGGTCAACACTTCCAGCCTCATGCCAGATTTAGCCCAACAATGTTCCATGGTTACTGGGTATAGGACCCATATCTTCAATTCTTAAATTAAGAGTGAGTCCTTCCTTGCTGATTCAATCTTGCAGTTCATCAGCATTGATTCTAGCAAGCCGATACTCTGCTGATGAGATGCTGAATGTCGAAACTGGTCCACGGGTTTTGCTGGAGGCGAATCAATGCCGTGAGGCCAGTGGGCTTTGTCGAGACAGATATGTGAAGGAGACATTGCTTATCATACTCTGTAAGGTTGTTAAAATTACCGCTAACCACAAACAATTGGTGAATAACCGTTTAACCCACGTATAGAAATGCCTATAGCAATACTGTAAATTAACATTTTTACCTGTTTAACTGAGAAACGATGGGAGTTGTAGTATAACAGCTCATTGGCGGATATACACTCTTAATGGTCCACAAGTTGGATTAGATATCCCGGCAAGGCAGTTGAAACATTGGGGATAATTGTGATGGTGTAATGGGGATGGTGTAAGTGTGGGTATGATTACAAAGATCCCCTCCTTGTACGGCCTTAACAGGCTGCTGGGGCAAATGCTGTTAGCGAGCAAGGCACAACGAGGGGGTGGGTGGCCAGCACCACGCCCGACCGCCTTTGTCTCCCTAGTGACGATGTTTACACATCGCACCACACACCCCTCTTGCAACACACGTGGTCAGTGTGGAAGGTGAGACGAAGTATCCCTGAGCTCATTGTAACGGAGGCTCTTCCGCCAGCGCCGGCTTGAGCAGCAAGACAAGAACGTAGCAGGGCTGCGCCTTTAACTTTGAACTGAGACACGCGGTGACTTCGGCTGCCGTGCGCTTTGAACGCGCGCACGTGCCAATCGGTGCATTTATTTTGAACATTCCACTTGAATCGATGGCAGGTTCCTCACTTTCGGAATCGGTAATTGATAATTATTAAACACCCCAATGTGTAGATCACTCAATAAATTGTTTGTGACCTGTGTGCTCCACTCCCCAGGCAACTTGCCCCTCCTTACCATTGCAATGCATGCAATGTATTTGCTGATACTGCATGGGCAGTGGTGCACAAGCACAAATAATAAAACTACAAAACCCAACAGATTTGAAAATAACACTGTCTTAAAAGAAAATAAACACAAGTGCTGTTTCGGCCAATGGCTCTTCTTGACCTCTTAAAATTTAGACTGCCTTTCCTGGAGTTCACATCGTTCCAGTGAGCGGTGCTCAATATCAGCCGCAGCCCAGGAATGAGTTAATGTCGCCACCTGCACCGCATTATTTTGTCCACATTGTACCGCAGTGGTACGTGCGGTGTGTGTGCCATGTGTGGTGCAGAATAGGATTACGACGAATAGGCATGCCATGCACTCCAGTGGTGGTGCCTTGCGTGTGTTTCTGATCCTTGTAGCAGAACTACACACTCACGGAAACGTTCATGTTGAAGCACTTTGGTATCTTGTTTTTTTATGATTAATTCTTTTTCGCATTCGTATTCTTTTTTTAATAAAAAATGCAGGTAACCTACTTGAGAATAGTCACTTAAGTTTTGCCTTAGGGGGCGTCCATAAATGACGTCACGCGATTTTGGCCGATTTTTGACCCTCCCTCCCCCCCTCGTCACACGGCGTTACAAAAAGTCAGACTCCCCTCAAAAACGAGGGGGGGGGGTCAGACATTTGTGACGATGTGTGACGAGGGGGGGGGGGGTGAGAAATGTGACGTTACATCAAAATGCGCAACTTTAAATGAATATAGACAACACGTTCTACTTAATTAAATAGACTTTTTAATAAATGTTTTCTACAACATCAGAGTGCAGCGCCACATTAAATACGCACTACAATGGCAATAGTTTAAAGCGATTTGAAGCATGTTTTATATTATTTTGGGGGGGGGGGCAGAGCTTTGTGACGTCATATTTGACGCCGTGTGACGAGGGGTGGGTCAAAATCGTCCAAAATCGCGTGACGTCATTTATGGACGGCCCCTTACATTCAAAGCGGCCCCAAATACAGGTGCCGGAACGCAGCCTTCAGAATGATCTTGCAGTAACCAATATTTTCCAGAAGGTGGCAAGCAAGCCGCTTTGCAAACTTCAGCAAGGGAGGGTTTGGAAGTGGCCCTGGTTTTGCTGGCTCAAGCTTCGGGGAGTGGCTCAGGTAGTTCTTCATCTGCAGCTCAAGGCTGGCTCCATCAGCTCCAGCTACGCGCCGCCGATTAGCACGGTTGGCTACGTATGGTGCGAAAGAAGTTCAAGATGCACATGGATCAGTTCCACATCGCTGCTGCATCTACTTTAACCCGCATTCTATGGCTCCAAAGCCACAAACGCCACAATCAGTCATGAGAAGGGTAGGAGGGGAGACGGGGTGGTGTTCAGAACCAGTGCACATTCGACCGGCTGAGATTTTACGATTTTACTTGCCACTGATGAGAATCCAACTCGGGTTTCTGGGAGCGTAGCGCAGTGGGCTAACGACTGCCCCACCGCTGTTAACAATGACGATGAAGATGACAGTATACACATCATACCACACGTGTGATAATTCATATTTGTTATCGTGTCTTGCATGTCCCTTGTATGCAGTGTGGTTGTGGTGCGAAAGGGGGAGTGGAATCACTGGAGATGTGGGGGGTGATTCAGCTTGGGACCTGTCACAGCAATGAGCAGCGTTCCCTGTCCACTGTGATATCACAGATTTCTCTATGCACCGTGACATTGCATGCTGTGCGCCATGACATCACTGCTTGCTGTGATCTCTGTGATGTCGCAGCATTCTCTCTGTGCTGTGACGTAACAGCACGCTCCAATTTTTGTGTGACAGCATAACGTGCTCTGTGAACTGAGATCACTGTGTGCGCTGTGCACAATGACATAATCTCTTGCTCGATTCTTGGTGACATCACTGCATTCTTGTTGTATGCTGACATAGCAGCATGCTATTTGTTTCACATCGCCGCGTTCCTCGTGGACTGTGATTTCCCAGCTTGAACCCTGCCTTCTGTGACATCACAGTGATTTCTGTGCAGTGTGATATCACAGCGTCCACTGTGCGCTGTGGCATTACATACCTTAACGATGGCAAGATGTTAACTACCTTGCCTGGTTTACAGGAGGCCGTGGGTTCAATTCCGACCCTGATGCCTGTATATTTGGAGTTTGCATATTCTCCACGTGGTCGCGTGGATTTTTCTCCGTGTCCTCCGATTTCCCCCCCTCCACATTTAGACACATGCTTTTAGAGTATTTGGCTGCTATATATTTCCACGTGATGAACCTCTTCGATAAGCCTCTTCAATGACCTATCATTTGTGGCCAGGTCGCTCCTGAAAATAATCCCGAGAGCTAAAAATAGTTTCGTTTGTAGTTTAGTTTTACCTACGACTTTGTTTAATCAATCGCCGCAAACCACCACGACATCACACAAAGTACTCACATTTATCTTTGTGCCACAAAGAGGCTTATGAACATATAGTACGATCTCAAAATTTGTAGGTGATGCCAAATTCCACGCATGGACGGTGTAAGTTGTTTTTAGATGTACGTGAACATAGCTGTGAGCCATCTCTTGGTGATATTTACGGATTGGTTGGTTCCCATATTCTTAGGTTTTTTCCAGTAAAGTCACGTAGGTAAAAAACATTAAAAAGTAAAATAAAATAAAAATCACGACGTTTCGGAGGCAACACAAGCTTCCGTCTTCAGGTGGTACCATCACAGCCACGACAGCTGTATCAAGTAAATGAGAGATTGTAGAAGCTACCACTCCGTTTATATAATGGTTGGAGAAGGTGGTGGTTGGTTCCCTGTCTGGCGCGAGCTGGTCAATGTCACGCTGTTGAGCTCCCCAAACTTGACAACGGAGTCGAAATACTGACGAGAACGTCAGAAGCCAAAGCTCGATTGACTCGGGCGACATTTATGACTTTAATGTTGGAGGGAAATCAAACTTTTCAGAGTCATTGAGATGAACATCTCAACACCCGTTTTGTTGCCAGAGAAAAGGGATAAACCCATTCTCATGAAAAATGAAATCTTATTTATATTTAACCACCAAAATATATACTTACTGTACATGTATGTTCATCAGACTATGGGCCTATAGGTATTATCATTCAATGCTTTATTTTTCACGCAGTATTTGTTAAAGCATGCTAACTCTACCAGCTTAAATGTACTTGTTATCATAAGCAAATACAGCAGCGCTTGTTTAATGAGTTTTACCAATTAAACAATCACTGCTGTATTTGGTATAGGCAAAACACCTCCACGGACACTGTGAAATGTATCCAGTGCAACAAGACAACATTGTACAACATCTATGTGCTGTTGCTTAAGTGCACATGAAACACATTTTTCCCCCTGCTTGCATTCGCCCGTAGGAATTCCGTAGCTATTACGGACCTGTAAACTATAGTCACGGCGTGTTCCAAAGGAGCACTCCTGCTGTTTGAAACTGGAGAGTTGTGCGGATAGGCGAATTGACATTAATGGTTTCTGTTGAAAACAGCTTGCAGTGCATAAACAGTGAAGGTTGCATTCGAAATAGGTCACGGACAATGTTTTGCTGTGGTAGAATGTATTGCACATTGAACGTATGTGGAGCACAGCGGAAAATATCCCAGGCATCTCTCCTCTAAATAGTTTGTAACGTGTGCCGTCCGATGTGTCAGTGAAGGTTAATTTAACACTTTGCCTGTCGCATTGTTTCCATAACTAGTTTGTCTCATAATAATTGTGAAGTGGAAATATTCCCCTTCCCTTCCAGTTGTCTATCACTCTTCCAAATAGCATTCAGCTTTGTTTACAGATGCCATAAATAGCAACTGAGCAGAGAGAGAGTCAAGCCAATGTGTGGCTGCGTGCGGAATTCATGAGTGGGAACACAACTGCATTCGGTCAACAAAGTTTCCATCTGTGCTCAATTGCAGAAAAATAAAAAAATTGCTCGAGGCACAGAAAAGCAGAAATACGGACTAACTGATCAACAAGATAATATAATGCGTATACATCACTTTGATAGAATGTGCGATAAATGAGTAAATGACACGGGGTTTTCTTGTGTTGACCATATTAAGTCTGAGGTGCCTGCAAGGGCATTCCCACTCATTGTGGATCTGATTCATTTGTTGGTAGAGGGCCATTGAAGTTTGGTGGAGGGCTCTGTCAAATAGTTTTTTTTGCATTAGCTCCACCAAAATGGAGTGTTCTGGCTGGCCATTCACCAACAATCTAACATCACACTCTGTTTGGAAAGTAATTTTTGTTTTATATTCCATTTATATTCCAAATTGCGATCATCGGCATATTGTCACGAGATGCAGAAATGTCCATTCAGAGCTGTCGCCCCATGTTACAAGAGTCACTGAAAGGTGATATCTCAGAACGACTACAGAGGCCCATTCAGTCGCCTGCTATTCACACCATGAGCACTGGACTCTCCAACCTGCCCAGCTATAGAGGCACTTACAAAAAAAATAATTATCAAGGCTGGAATTTGCCACATCAACTGAAAAAACAAATGCAATGAAATATGTTATTGGTGGCCTCACATTCGCTATACTTGAGAAACTGGTTTAATTACCAGTAGCTGCCTGGATTTGGACAGATTAACTCAGTGGTGATACCATCTGATCCCTGACCCACCCAACCACCACAACGGGTGGTGGCCAAGTTGTTATGAAGGGCACTTTCAAAACACTGATAAAAACTATTTTAAAAGTCAAATTAAATAACAGTCATATTTATTGTACACACAAAAACTACAGTCAATGACAAGAGACACGTAGCCTTGTAAGGTCAGTTTAACTCTGTAAAACAGCATTAAAATACACTGCAATTCTGACAGACTTCAGAGTACAGAATTTGAAAGACGTAGTTCGTATTATGAAAATTTCCCAGCACAGAACGAGCAAGTAGATTGATGTTATTGGTTCTGCCTGTGGTGGAGACTGCAAAATAGGAAGTGCAATCACTAACACCGCCACAAGAAAGAGTGGCACATTCCAGAGCTAATTGCCAACATGTGTGTGGCTCCATGAAGCCTGTCTTACAGTGACGGGGCATTCCAAATTGTATGGGGATTCAACTTTTCTTCAGTATGTCACTTTACGAAGTACATACAACTACAAATGAATGCAACATTGTATAAATACATTCTGCATAATTTATACATTTAAGATGTTTGCCTACGCGTCTTTATTTGTTTACAATGCGTGTGTCATATGACACCCTGGGCACCCTTGTAATGAGATGTTCGACCTCGAGGGATGTTCGAGGTTAAATAATTTAGGAAGAGACAAATAAATACAACTCTCTGAATTCCTTTCTGTCTCCCTTGAAGACGACACTTATAGTCCCATCGAGGCCTGAGTGGGGCCATAGCTCATTCATTCATTGACTCGTTCACTCATTCATTCATTGACTCGTTCACTCATTCATTCATTCATTGACTCGTTCACTCATTCATTCAATCACGGCCCAAATTTATGTACAACATTTTGAAATGCAGTTTCATTTATACACTATATGAATACAAATTGTACTGTTAAATATTGTTATACTTATTGTATGTAATTTACAATAATTACAATGGCAATAAAGTTTCATTCGTTGTCAATTCATTCTTAGCCACGTAAAGAGACGGTTGTGGAATTGTCTGGGGTCATGAAACTCAAAACTATTGACAGTTAATGGTATTTTGTGCAGTTTCAGTAAATTGGGCGCCACAGTGGCAAGATGTTAACTACCTCGCCTGTTATGCAGGAGTTTGTGGGATCGATCCCGACCTGACAGCCTGTATATTTGGAGTGTGCATGTTCTCCCCGTGGTCGCATGGATTTTTCTCCGGGTCCTCCGGTTTTTCCTTCCACATTTCGAGTCAACGTGCGTTTAGAGTATTTGGCTGCTATACATTTTCACGTGATAAGCCACTTCGTTAAGCTATCATGTGTGGCCAGGTCACTTCTGAAAAGGAGCTCTGTAGCTCAGTTGAGCCTTACCTGGTAAAATATAAATTGTTTAGCTTAATTAAATTAACCATGAACTAAATCAAGATTACTGTCAAGGCGAGCTGAAAAGCAACACGAATGTCAGCCTGATCATTTTACAAAGCACTGTTTCCAAATACACACAGAGTGAATATAAAACACGCGGCCCCGTCCCAGTGTTCGCTTGGCGGCTTCACACAGACGACCCACGACTCGCTCCCATCAGCCGGGGGCACTCCAGTTGGACCCCGACCCCGAGCTCGGTCACGCGAGCAGCGTGATCACGACGCCGTCGTCCTGCCCCTGCCACAGCATCTCGCCCTCGAAGTGCACGTGGCCGTGCTTGCGAGCACGCAGCAGAATGCCGACCACCTTGTCCGAGACGCGCACGTAGCGCTCGAAGAGGCGCCCGAAGGTGACGCGCGCGCGCCCGTCTTCGCCGCGAACGCCCACTTCGCCGATGATGAGCACCATCTCGTCCACCTCGCGCAGCACGTGGCGCTGGGCCCGCCGGCCCCGCTCCGCCGTGGCCGTGCCGTCCAGCGGGCGGCCGTAGCCCTGCTCGCCCTTGCGCGCCCGCACCGCCATGGCGTGCTCGAAGTCGAAGTCCCCGCTGAACGGGTTCAGCCGCTGCTCGTCGACGTGGTCGCGCGAGCGCTTCTGCCAGAGGCCGGTGAGGTCGCCGACGACGCCGTAGTTCGGCACCCTGGTGCGACCCGGCTCCTTGGCGTCGCGGCCGCTTTTCCTTCTCGTCGTGTCGCCTTTCGCGGCGTCGCTGGCGTTCGTCGAAGGGCTCCGCGTCGTTCCCTGCAAGCCGCGCTCCGTTGCGTCGTGTTTGCATTTTTTGAAGTCTTTGTTCGCTCGCGCGTCCAACTCAATGGTTGACAAGCGAGGCTCGTCGGTGATTGCTTCCTCAGGTGTAGCCTCGTGTGTGGGGGTGCTATCCGCGCTCGCATTTTTCCTTATGGCTTTCCCTACCCCTTTCGGGGTGTTTTCAGATTCTTCAGCATCAACTCTGCACGTTGTTACGTCTGAGAGACCATGGTTTTTTGATGGAAGAATGATGTCTCCAGACATGTCAGTTAATGGCACATCACTCGTTTCATTTGTATTACATTCTACGTGATCAGAAATCAAACCCAGAGCATTTGTCTCGGCTTGGAAGTCCTTTTTCTCCATCATTGTGATTTTCAATTTGGCACCAAAACTTCAAAAGAATGCTTTTATTCAGATGTCTCCTCTCCTCCCTGCTGCTCCAACTCAGTCTTAAGTTACCCTTCTCGTGCCGATTTTGACCACAGAGATCTTTGAGTTTTCTTAAATCACCAGGAAAGTGTTTAATCGTCCACAACTATACAACTCACCTTCTAGTATTACGGTTTAGACACTCGCATAAGGCAAGGACTGTTTTTTTCATTGCCGAAATGTTGTGTTGTTGAGCCAAGGGGACGCAAGCAACCGATCTCACTGGAAGTTCTTGCCCACAGCCTCCTGCATAGGGCTCCTCTCACTAATGTCTCATCTACGTTCCTCAGCCGTGCTGCTAATCCCACACTCGTTCCAAAGCTGTGGGCATCGCTGTGACCCCTGTATCGTGTATTTATAACCCGGCTGGCCTGCACCTGGTCTATTTTAAAGCAAAGGCTAATGGTACATTTCAGGCGTATTGCAAGCTGCAAGAACAAAAATAGACAATGTTCCACAGCTAGGACATTGGTTGGTGGGGTTAAAGAAGCACTGGACAAAAATGGCATGCAGACTTCCTCTCTTTATGTTATGGAAAGCGCAATTTCCAAGCATACCACAGGCAATTTACGCGTTAAGAAAAAACATCAGTGCAAATTTAACTTTAAATATTGCTCTGAAATTTGCAATTGCTTTTATATTAACTGTGAATAGACATTTTTAAAAGTGAAAAGTGCCCACACCGACAATCACTGGTGCCTCTTAACAAGTAGCAGGTCTCTGGCAAGGACGAGTGTATGTAATTAATAGGACAACCTCTGTACTCCCCAGTTTACTCATATTACTGACCCCGCAGGCATTAATGATGACACGGTGGGGTTGAGTTGGTCCCTGCCAGGATTGCAACTCATCATCATCATTCCCTCTGGTGAATCTGCCACTCGATGAAGGCCTTCCCAAGCCACCGCCATCGATGCTGTGCTGTAATAATCCAGCTAATACCTGTACACGAGCTGATTTCATTGCTCCATCTCCTTGGCGGACGTGCTTTCAGACACGCTCCTATCATTGTTGCTGCAATTATTCTTGACCAGTAGCCAAAATCCATCCTGGAGGCATGTCCTACCCAAGCCTACATTTCTGATAGATTTTTTAAAATTAAAATTATGGTCTCATTATTAGGAAGCATGTTTATCTACCAACTGAACTACAACTTACAGCATTGCCTTGAGAATATTGTTGAAATATAAGCTGATTTTATATACTTCTTCTTGGAATGTGGTGATTGCATTTTAATAAGGGAAATAAGTATTTGACCCCCTCTCAATCAGAAAGATGTCTGGATCCCAGGTGTCTTTTATACAGGTAACGAGCTGAGATCAGGAGCACACTCTTAACGGGAGTGCTCCTAATTTCAGCTTGTTACTTGTATAAAAGACACCTGTTCACAGAAGCAATCAATCAATCAATCAGATTCCAAACTCTCCACCATGGCCAAGACCAAAGAGCTCTCCAAGGATGTCAGGGGCAAGATTGTAGACTTACACAAGGCTGGAATGGGCTACAAGACCATCGCCAAGCAGCTTGGTGAGAAGGTGACAACAGTTGGTGCGATTTTTCGCAAATGGAAGAAACACAAAAGAACTGTCAATCTCCCTTGGCCTGGGGCTGCATGCAAGATCTCACCTCGTGGAGTTGCAATGATCATGAGAACGGTGAGGAATCAGCCCAGAACTACACGGGAGGATCTTGTCAATGATCTCAAGGTAGCTGGGACCATAGTCAACAAGAGAACAGTTGGTAACACACTACGCCGTGAAGGACTGAAATCCTGCAGTGCCCCCAAGGTCCCCCTGCTCAAGAAAGCACATATACTTTCCCGTCTGCAGTTTGCCAATGAACATCTGAATGATTCAGAGGACAACTGGGTGAAAGTGTTGTGGTCAGATGAGACCAAAATGGAGCTCTTTGGCATCAACTCAACTCGCCGTGTTTGGCGGAGGAGGAATGCTGCCTATGACCCCAAGAACACCATCCTCACCGTCAAACATGGAGGTGTAAACATTATGCTTTGGGGGTGTTTTTCTGCTCAGGGGACAGGAAAACTTCACCGCATCAAAGGGACGATGGACGGGGCCATGTACCGTCAAATCTTGGGTGAGAACCTCCTTCCCTCAGCCAGGGCATTGAAAATGGGTCGTGGATGGGTATTCCAGCATGACAATTACTCAAAACACACGGCCAAGGCAACAAAGGAGTGGCTCAAGAAGAAGCACATTAAGGTCCTGGAGTGGCCTAGCCAGTCTCCAGACCTTAATCCCATAGAAAATCCGTGGAGGGAGATGAAGGTTCGAGTTGCCAAACGTCAGCCTCGAAACCTTAATGACTTGGAGAAGATCTGCAAAGAGGAGTGGGACAAAATCCCTCCTGAGATGTGTGCAAACCTGGTGGCCAACTACAAGGAACGCCTGACCTCTGTGATTGCCAACAAGGGTTTTGCCACCAAGTACTTTGTCATGTTTTGCAGAGGGGTCAAATACTTATTTCCCTCATTAAAATGCAAATCAATTTATAACATTTTTGACTTACGTTTTTCTGGATTTTGTTGTTGTTATTCTGTCTCTCACTGTTCAAATAAACCTACCATTAAATTATAGACTGATCATTTCTTTGTCAGTGGGCAAACGTACAAAATCAGCAGGGGATCAAATACTTTTTTCCCTCACTGTATATATGGTGGTTAAATGACCCAGCAACTCAAAGTACATCACATGAAACTAAACTTTAAACTATTTTAAACTTCACCAGGCAAGGCCCACTGAGCTATATAGCTCGTTTTCAGAAGCGACCTGGCCATAAATAGCTCAACGAAGTGGCTTCTCATGTGGACGTTGATAGCAGCCATTTCCACCATTGCCTTCGTAGAGGTGTTGGTGGAACAATGATGGTGCATGTATAGATCAAATTAATTAGCAAGGACAGCTACGATCGATATTTGTTTTTGGGAAAGGCCACGTGGCAGTTTAATGCCAAAGCCAAAAGCAAATATTTATAATTGTATTGGTTATGAACATCTACGTTGTAAGGGTACTTTGACCTGTTTTTATAGCGCACTGTATGGTGTTTTTTTCTCCTGTAATACACAGTTTGGTATGTACAGTGAGGGAAAAAAGTATTTGATCCCCTGCTGATTTTGTACGTTTGCCCACTGACAAAGAAATTATTAGTCTATAATTTTTATGGTAGGTTTATTTGAACAGCGAGAGACAGAATAACAACAACAAAATCCAGAAAAACGCATGTCAAAAATGTTATAAATTGATTTGCATTTTAATGAGGGAAATAAGTATTTGACCCCTCTGCAAAACATGACTTAGTACTTGGTGGCAAAACCCCTTTTGGCAATCACAGAGGTCAGACGTTTCTTGTAGTTGGCCACCAGGTTTGCACACATCTCAGGAGGGATTTTGTCCCACTCCTCTTTGCAGATCTTCTCCAAGCCATTAAGGTTTCGAGGCTGACGTTTGGTAACTCGAACCTTCAGCTCCCTCCACAGATTTTCTATGGGATTAAGGTCTGGAGACTGGCTAGGCCACTCCAGGACCTTAATGTGCTTCTTCTTGAGCCACTCCTTTGTTGCCTTGGCCGTGTGTTTTGGGTCATTGTCATGCTGGAATACCCATCCACGACCCATTTTCAATGCCCTGGCTGAGGGAAGGAGGTTCTCACCCAAGATTTGACGGTACATGGCCCCATCCATCGTCCCTTTGATGCGGTGAAGCTGTCCTGTCCCCTGAGCAGAAAAACACCCCCAAAGCATAATGTTTACACCTCCATGTTTGACGGTGAGGATGGTGTTCTTGGGGTCATAGGCAGCATTCCTCCTCTTCCAAACACAGCGAGTTGAGTTGATGCCAAAGAGCTCCATTTTGGTCTCATCTGACCACAACACTTTCACTCAGTTGTCCTCTGAATCATTCAGATGTTCATTGGCAAACTTCAGATGGGCAAGTATATGTGCTTTCTTGAGCAGGTGGACCTTGTGGACGTTGCAGGATTTCAGTCCTTCACGGCGTAGTGTGTTACCAACTGTTTTCTTGGTGACTATGGTCCCAGCTGCCTTGAGATCATTGACAAGATCCTCCCGTGTAGTTCTGGGCTGATTCCTCACTGTTCTCATGATCATTGCAACTCCACGAGGTGAGATCTTGCATGGAGCCCCAGGCCGAGGGAGATTGACAGTTCTTTTGTGTTTCTTCCATTTGCGAAAAATCGCACCAACTGTTGTCACCTTCTCACTAAGCTGCTTGGCGATGGTCTTGTAGCCCATTCCAGCCTTGTGTAGGTCTACAATCTTGTCCCTGACATCCTTGGAGAGCTCTTTGGTCTTGGCCATGGTGGAGAGTTTGGAATCTGATTGATTGCTTCTGTGAACAGGTGTCTTTTATACAGGTGTAGTGACATAAGAAGGGAGGGGCTGCTGGGGGCTCTGGGTTTCCAAGTGGGTCCAGACGCTTAAGCCTCTGGGCGCCAGGCACTGGGTTCCCAGGGGGTCCAGACGCTTAAGCCTCTGGGCGCCAGGCGTTGGGTTCCCAGGCGCTTAAGCCTTTTTGGCGCCGCCAACGGGGGGGGGGGGGGGCTGTGTGTGCTCTGTGGGATGTCTGGTGGCGCACACGGCCCCACCCCTCGTTAGACCAGGCATAAAAGGAGAGCTCCCTGGACGATCAGGGCCCAGTTGTAACTCAAGACCCAAGACCCACGACCAGCCATCTGAAGACCCTGGGATGCTGCGAGAGCCAGCGCTAGGACTCTGGAACTCCCGACTCTGGAACTCCCGACTCTACGACCTTGTGAGGGCGAGTTCCGGAGCGTAGCCAGAGTAGAGTATCTAGGCTGTGTAGCTAGGCTGTGTACCTAGGCTGTAACAGCGTATCAGGACTGTTGGAGAGTTGGAGTACTGTTGGAGTGTTTCATCTACAAGTGTCTCCGGAACCCGTTACATTTGGCGTCAGAGGTGGAAATGGAGACAAGAAGTAAGCCACGTACCTTCAGTCCTGACGGCGATGTTGAGGAGCAAGCGGCGACGGGGCAGCCAACTCGGGCCGACTAACAACGCCGCACCGCCGGCTGAGCAGTCGTCCACCACACCTGCCGATCCTCCTCCAGCATCGGGAGCAGCAATGGAGGAAACGCTGCTTCGCCTCACCGAGCTGCTCCACGCCACCGTCTCCATCCTTGACGACATGCGTCGCTCACAGGCGGAGGCAGCAGGGAGAGAGGCGGCGCAACGACCGCGCCATTCCGCCGGCTCCAACACAAAGACGGGTGTGTCGTCACTTCTGCGGGGGGAGCAGTGGCCGCTGGGAGCGACGTCA